TTATTGTTGCTCTCTGATTGAAGAAAGAGCAGTTGAGCAATGACCAGAGAAGCTACAGAGTCATCGATCTAGATAAGCAGAAGGACAGAAAAACAGACAGGAAACAAATGAGCAAAGGCTTTCCAAAAATCTCTCTACATCCTTGTGTTCATTTCCTTGTATTCTGAACTCACAGGACCCATAACGCAGATGATTCTCTCTCGAAGCAGCCTTGAGTAGATGTCATAAGCACGCTCTCCTCGTCCCTGAAACAGAGGAAACCTTTTAACAAGCTGTCATGTTCCTTGCACACTAAAATCTGTATCTTTAATATAAAACTATTGAATTTAATGACATTGTGTTCTTACCGTCTGCTCCACAACTATAGGTATGAGTGGACTGCTCCATGGAGAACTCTGATGAACTGACCTACTGACTCTCAGTGTAGAAACACCACATCGTAAGACCCTCTATAAAAACAACAGTTACTGCGATGAAGATCAGTTATTAAACAGACAGATGCCTCTCTGTCAACATTAGTGTCCATCCAAGGTCGTTATATATTGGCGAATATTTTGGCGTCGAGCTTGACTTTATTTTTATGTATTTATATTTTATGTTCTATTATTATATAAAACTCAATTTAGCCTTTACGTGTCAAATTTTGAGAAAACGATCAAAATGTTAAGGTCAAAAACTTATAAATTACATAAAGCCGGCTGGCAAAATCTCTTTTCTCTTAACGTAAGTTACAGTAAATATCGCGAACGGCGTTGCAACTGACGTGTCCTCAAAACAATACATATATTTAATTATGAAATTAATTAATACTAGGTTTACAGAAAACAGTTTAATACTCACACGTAGCATGTTTCTGTTGAGCAACCCTCACGCGACCCCTCGCGACCCGGATGTGATGCTCTGCAACTCGGTAGTGAAGCCAGCTCTTGTTGATGGTAGAGATTGCGAAGTCGAGAAAATATTTGCAGACTCTAAATAAACGTGCAGTGTCTTTAAACGAATCAAGCCTGTCACAGAGTTAAAAGTGCAAATGGTTTTTTTTTTTCTCACGTCTCGAATAAACGAATGAACAAATATATTCATTTATTAATTGAGATAAATACCTTTTTTGTAATACTGAACAATGAAATAAAAAAGAATAAGCAACATTACAATAATTATAATAATAATAAAATTAATAATAATAATAATAATAGAAATAATAATAACAAAATTAAAAGATATAAAACATAATATAAGATAAGCTCATTATATTTATTTATTGGATGCTGAATATTACTAAGTGATACTAAATAATATTTTTGTTGCTGTTGTTGTTTGGAATGCTACCTTATCCAAGTTTTTTTTTTTTTTGTAAATAAATAAATCAGTTAACTAATTTAATAATGTGTTCCTTCATACAATACAAAAATACCTTATATATATATACATTTTTGTATTGTATGAAGGAACACATTATATATATATATATATATATAAAATACTTCCTGGCAAAATAAACGTACAATAAACCTTAGTGCAATTACAATAATATTTTTTCTTTTTTGAAAAAATAATAGAAGAGAGTTATAAAATAAATCAGCATTATTTTTATGTTATTTATTTGTTTTGTGGAGTTTTAAGTAGTTTTCTGACTGATACCTGTACATGTCTCTCAAGAAAATAAATAAATAAATAAAGGATAATTCAAATTAATTATTCAATTAATCCATTACTTCATGCATAAAATAACTAAAGTTGACATTCTGGTAAAAATGAATATAAAATAAGCCAGAGTCCAAATATCCAAAATAAGAATAAATTTATAAAATAATAATAATTAAATAACAAATAAAATATTAGGCTGAAATAAAATTGAGCCCTGCATCCATGCGGTCAAATTTTGTAAAGCCTGAAATGCCCACTTTAGAAGTTTTTGACACATTAATCACCATTTGTATATAGCCACATTTCTCACTGGCTTACAGTGCTCAACATAAATGATAACACCCTCACATATCTCTCTTTTAATTATTATTTTCTGTAGAACGCAATATATACAATATATTTGTCTATATACATTAGATTAGTCAGTACAATAACCAAAATTGCAACTAATCTGAAACAAAAACATAACATCACAATTCTAAACTTAATACACCCAAGTAGAAAAAATTAAATAAAATTTTAATAAACAAGAACATTTTTGAAAAAATTAAAATTTTCAGTTAAAATGTGGTGTGTGTATTTTTTTCTCAATAACTCTTGAATTTAAATGTATTATATTTCTATTCCTGAAGATGTTAGGTGACCATAGTCTTTTTTAATTAATCATAGTATTTTAATAAATATACAATTGTTTAATAAAACTGTTTTGTTAAAATGCATGGGCACAGGCCCGGCGCCAGGAAGTCAAAACTGAGGGGGCACTTTAAATCCATAGGGGGGCACTAGACCTGGTGACTCATTTTGGTCTCTTGTTTCTTTCATTTAGGCTATTTATTCACATTTATTATTACTTTGCATTACTGCCTAAGTTACTGAACTAAGGCAGTAATATAGGCTACGTTTTAATAGTAATAACAATATGCAGTTTCGCTATTACGAATTTTATTAACGATAGTAATGCATGCCGCTTATTAATGCAGACGGATGATGGCTTCAGTGCCAAACGAGTGCTTTAAATCATATGTTATTCTCCTTATTTCCGTTTTATTTCAAATAACAGGCATATGAATGTTTAAAGTTTTAGGTAAAGACGTCAAATTATGCCCACGCATGCAAGCTGACCCACCATCAGACTATTCATTTAACCGGTAAATAAATATAGTAAAATCAGCTTAACCGAGTCATCCCGCTTCACGTATTATCCAACCAACATCATTGTTAGGGAAAAGCTAAATGTTACAATTTAATGTCATTTAAAACAATTACTTAGTTTCATTTTAAGGCATTAGTGTAGCCAGAAAAATACCTAAAAAGATACCAAAATTCACATGTTATTACCGTGAAAATTGGTTAAATTTTGGCACGGATAACACTCAATATGCTTTATAACTTTTTATTCATGATTTTAAATGTAAAAACAAAGATTTATCTTAGGCTATCATAAGTGTGTTTTTTTCGTGATATTGTAAACCATCATAAACCATTAGGTTACTAAGCCTACCCGTAATTTTATTTATTAATTATTTAATTAATTAAGCCTTTTTTAAATAGCTTGTTTTCAGGTTATTTTCATTTTAGGGCCATGAGCTACAAGTCAAAACAAACTCGATATGTTGTATTTTAGCTCTTAAAATAGATCTACAATATATTTTGTTTAATTTTGCATGAGCAAAAAGCTGTATAGCCTAAATGACATATTTTTAAAAGATTATCATTCTGCTTACCTGCAGCGCGTGAGAGTTTCTCGGTTGATCCGCGATAAATCCACTTAAGCACCATATTCCATTTATAACACTACAAACTTGACTTAATAAACGCAAAAGGCATTTATTATGTGTTATACCTTGACTGCTGCTGCATAATGGGATGTTTCTCTACACAACTGTAAAAGTGCGCTTTTTAGCAAAATGAAAGCAAACATTCAAAGGGTTCTGCGTTTTGTCAATTTTAGTTTAATTGTAATAATATTAATAATAATATTAATAAATAAAATTAAAATATTATTTATAGTGTAGCCTACTGTGGGACTGTGCAGTAAACTATTTGTTTTTATTAAAACATTTTTATTAGGCTACATCTTCCCGAACTAATAAATGACTGGCAGTTGCGTCTCTGCTAAAATTAATTTAACAGCAAATTTCTTATGTGTTTTTTCCTTTTAGAGCTCAAGAGAGTTGTGTTTAAATAATTAGTTAACCAAAGCATGTAATGAATTAAGCTGCTCCTATCATGTCACCCACTTTTCTCCCTTGTGAGTTGAGTGCGCCTCCATCACCGTGTGCGCGTTTTAAAGGCTATTTACGGCCGCACCTGACCTGACGCTGGGACCGGATCTCTGAACTATAGGACTAGCTTTAATATCACTATTTTCATAATTCAATTGCTATGTCATATATTTTAAAATATGTAAATGTGTGTTCTAAAGGTTGGAACGACGGGAGTGTTAATAATTAATGACAGAAAGAATTTTCAGTTTGAGTCCTTTATAAAAACTGGGGGGGCACAAACTCTTTCTGAGGGGGCAATGCCCCCCTTTGCCCCCCCGTAGCGCCGGGCCTGCATGGGCAGCACGGTGTCTCAGTGGTTAGCACTGTTGCCTCACAACAAGAAGGTCAAAAAGTCAGGAGTTTGCATGTTCTTCCCGTGTTCGCATGGGTTTTCTCCTGGTGCTCTGGTTTCCCCCACAGTCCAAAGACAAGCACCATAGGTGAACTGAATAATCCGCTGCGTAAAAGATATACTGGAATAGTTGGGGGTTCATTCCGTTGTGGTGACCTCTGATAAATCAGGGACTAAGCTGAAAGAAAATGAATGAATGTTAAAATGCACCAAAACTTATTTACTGTATACTGAAAAAAATATTTAAAAAACAATTACTTTTTAAAAGGGGGGTGTACTCATTTATGCTGAGCACTGTAATGTCTCTACGAGGGAAATAATGTAAAATTAACAGCCTCTTATGTCTTTATGAAAAAAGTTAATGAAAAACACTGCGTGCATGCGTGTGTATGTATTTGTGTTAGCTCTTTTCATAGAAAGAAAAAGAAAATAGAAAAGGAACATAAAATCCAAGTTATGATTATGTGTGCAATTTTGTATATGCACAGGAGGACAAGAGTCTTTTCTTTTAACAAAATATAGAATAAAAATAGATAGTGATAGAAGTGATAGTGATTTCCAGAGCAATTAGAGCTAAACATAGAATAGAAAGTTTTGTTCAGGTACCCTAGTTAGTTATTTACGACTATAGCTTGTTAATGGGTGAGAAATCCTCGTCGTGTCAGCAGGTGTCCTCATTCTCCGTCATTCACTACTGTTCGCAGAAAGGGGCGCAATAGAGTCAACAGAATCTCAGTCTCTGCCCACATCAGACTCGTCCTGACGGCACTGCAAACTTTGGCTGATCTGCTGCGAGAGTCATGTCGAATAACAGCACGAGTGGTTTGTCGAGCTTGCAAAAAAGCGTCAATCAACTGCGATTTGAAGCATCATTTGACAGAATTATGGTGAGTTGAAAATAATTATAAACTCAAAAGAATGAAAATCTTTGCTTACTGGGTGTGACTTGACAGACTTGTCGATCATGTCTGCCTTTGTATTTCACTAATGTAGTGTGTTTTAACATTTCTTGAGTTATTATAACATCTTACAAGTGTAACCATAATGTGTCCAATGTATTTCGTGTTTGAACCGCAGTTTACTATGCCTTATATCACTTACCTTCGTTTTCACCAAACGATGACAGCTGGCGTTTAATCGAGTGCTATCAAAGGTTGTCTGCCAACAGCAATATGTTTCAGTACGTTTTTGAGGTGTATGATAATCTAAGTCAACAATCAATAAATCATAATCCGCTTAAAAGTCTCCAAACTGTTCCACATCCGTATTTTTGATTCCCTGCTAACTCTAAGCAGTATGGCAAGCTGATTTAACTTTCAATATATTTTCATGCTACTAGTAGCCTACTTTTTTAGATACTAGTTTATTTTCCATTACTATTATCAGTATCTCTCCCATACCATTATACTATCTTTTTACTATTATTAACATCGAATAACAAATATCTTAGAGGTAACAACATAGTAACAAATAAAGTACAAAACATTCAGTCTTAAACCTGGGGGGGTCTTTTTAAAAGATAGTCGTACTTAAGTTTTTCAAAAGTTTAGATTTTGGCATCAACTGTCTGATACTGAAAATTTCAAAGTTCTAAAAGCTTGCACACTAGATAATTTGAAAGATGAATCTATCAGCTGATCCATCTGTCTGCTGATAGATCAGCTGATAGACGCGACATTCAAATGCTTCCGTGTATATGTGATTGAGCTTAGTGAACTCTCGTGAAGCAATGACCTTTTGAGGCCTATTACAGTCTGTAGCTGTAGCACATGAGCCCAGTCAGGGCCGGAGTGGGACTCCTTTTTAGCTCTGGAGTTTCAAGCCTTAGATCGGAACACTTCAGTCAACGACTGAACATATAAAATAACGTTATTTCCAATTCAGTTTCAAATGACACTAACATGTCTTTTTCAAGGACACAGCTGCTTTAGAACTTCAAATGTTTTTCATAAATATGAGAACATTAATTCTTTATAGATATCCAGTCAACGGTCGTCACACACACAAAAAATATGTACCCCTACATAAGTAAACCAAACAGTATTTTATGTCTTAACACTGAAAATGAAAAAAATTTATTAAACTCTGGTGAGGTTCGAACTCGGATCAGCGGCGTTGTAACGTAACATGCTAACCACCAGACCACGATGGCGCTCGTAAGCACTGCACTGTTATCTGCAGCTATTGATGTCTACTCTTTTTTTTGCCCTACTCTTTTTCTCCCCTTTTAAGACTTCTGATCAAGTTATGTTAGATTTATTAATGTAGTGAATCGTCTGATTTTCATTGAGCAGGTGTAATATTCATTTATATTAATTAATAATCCCTAAGGTGCGGCTGTTTGGAGTGGAATGGGGTCCAGCCCGCAGGTAAATGATGATCATCATAAACCTGCAGACTGCATTTTGTTCACGAGGCTGCGAGAAAAAAAATAAAAAGAGCGGAGCTGTGGCAAAATAATGAATAAAAAGAGTGAGGTTATGGTAAAATAAACAAATAATTGAAAAAATCGCAAATGCTGAGAGTGCAATCTAGGGACACCGGCCCTCACGGCCAAAAAACGGAACGGCCCACCGGGAATTCTCCCGGTTCTCCCGATTTAACTCTATCAGAGTTAAAACCAACTCCAAATGAGTGAACATGTTGTTCCAATATTTTCAGAGTTAAAATAACACTCTTGAGAGTTACTTGACAACACTATAAATGAGATATTTTTTCACTGTATTGAGTTAAAATAACTCTGGTCTACACTACAGGGAATTGACTGATCCTGACTCTAGTGTAAAGAGTGAAAATTCAACACTTTATAGAGAGAATTTTACTCTTGTCTACTTAGTTGACATTACAATACTCGCGACTGATAGTTAAAATAACTTGCATAGGACAATTCTCCAAGAATGACTGAAAAAAAAATCCCAATTATGTTATTAATCATTTCTATTAACAAAACATGTTAACACTGGACAGCCAGCACTACAAATTGACACTTTTTACAAATTAACACTTTTTATAACTTTAAAGGATTTAAAAAAATGGCATAACTTTTATGTTCAATTCAGATTTATGGTGAAGTAAATGTTGGAAAAAAACACCATCAAGTGTTGGTTACCTGTAACTCCTTGATTTTACACTGGATCAAATCAGCTTTGAACTCTGATCATGTTTATTTATAAATATCTAGCTCTGTAATTTTAACACTTTACTCTGAAATGCTTTAACATCGAGAATTTAACTCTGAGGAGTTTGCTGTGTACTTATTCATTAGCTATAGGAATTTTTCATCTAAATTATTAGATAATGGTTCTTATTCTCTACATAGTTGTTTTACTAGTGCCTAGTAACCATTATGTTGTTACTAGTAACAAATCTTAAAAATCTGCCATTCTGCCATATAAATACTGTTTACTAAATTTTCCCTTGCAACTATTTCAATAAATAGTGCAAGTGTTTCAATAGTGATTTGTAAGGTACCAGTACATTGAGTGGACATTAGTTTGTTTTGTAATTATTATTAGTAAAAGCTGCTTTTTTACTGGTCTTTGATGTCTTGTCACAATAGGCAGAGTTCAAATAAAAATCTTTCAAGTAAAATAATTACAAAAAACTTAGTAGTAACAAATAGAATTGGTATGTAGTAAATGTGTACTAATACATATTGGATATGTACTAGTATTCGAGGATTAATGCTATTATCTAATAATAAATGTCCATCTGTAATTTACATATATTGTTATCTAATGAATGGGTACTAGTATCTAATAATAACTAATCAATCTAAGGAATATGTTCTACTATTTTTTTTAAATATACTAGTACCTGAAGAAACTTAAGAATAAATCTTAAAACAGCTTGCCATACAGGCAGACACTGCTCGCTCTCTCTCTTTCTCCCTCTCTCCCTCCCTCTCTTCCTCCCTCCTTCTCTCCCTCCCTCTCTCTCCCTGTGTGTGTGTGTGCGTGTGTGTGTGTGCGCGTGTGTGCGCGCGTGTGTGTGTGTGTGTTGTCGTGCTGCTCACAGTGGAGCTCTTTGTTGATTGTAAGTGTGTGTGACACAGTGTCACATTTGTTGGCTGGAAAAATCCAAATCTATATTAGTAACCACTTGCCCCAAAACACACTATTTTAAAAACAACCGAAGTCTTTATGTGTTGTTATATCAGATTAATCATGAATCAAATAAACTGTGTAACTTCTAACCGCGTGATTTGTAGGAAATTGTGATGGCCAATAAAGCCTTTATTGCTCCACAACCCCCTTTTTGTCTGTATGTAGTATGCATATGTGTATAGCTCTATACTTCAAACAATCTCTCCTACTTCCAGGTTTCTCAAGCTGCAGACGATCTAAAAGCATTCTGCTTAAAAAATGCCAGTAAAGACCCTCTCATTAAAGGGGTGCCACCCAATGACAACCCCTTCCGACCCGCAAAATCATGTGTTCTCCTCTGAGGTATCAATGATCAGCTCAGTGTTACTTTTGCTTTTGGTTGTACTTCCTGTTTAACCAGAATGTGAACAAGATTGTGGACCTTTTCTTCTTTCTCTTCCCCCTAAAAGGAGTCATGAAGAATGCTGAGAAACTTCTGAACATTGCAAGCATTTAAACCACCTTTCATCAGACCCCGAGCTGCATCATCGATATGACTACACTAAATTCTTTATCTTGGATAGCTGCATTCTCACGAGACGTTTTGATTGTTTAATAATGTGATTTATGAAGAAAAAGTGTTTGATTGTTTTGTAATGTGGAACGGAGCTGTTTTGTGTGCACAACTTTAGATTACGATTAATTGCATTAACTACTAGAAGAATTTTCAAAAAGCTGAACTATTTGCCCTACAAAGCAGGGTGTGTCTGGTGCCAATAATAATTTTAAAACATATGAAAACAAATACTGATTTTCAGTTTGTGCTGGGTAGATTACTTAAATATGATCTGTTTCTGATATGATATGAGCTCTAAATGATGTGAGAGTTCAAACATTTTTAGTAGGAAAAAAAAAAGGAAAAACTAGTTTAAAAACTCTGGTGAGGAGTGTTGAAGCAATGACTTTCTGCGCCAATCACAGTCTGTAGCTGTAGCACACGAGCCTAATGACCAGGGCCAGACGGAATCTGCGGACGTTTTTTGCTATTTCTGCAGAGAATTTTGGTAAAATTCTGCGGAATTATTTTGGGAGTATCCATCGGAGTATCATAACTAAAACCTTAATATATTAAATAAAAAGTAAAAAATTACTGAATTAAAACTGAATAAATTCAGATTTACACATTTACTTAAGTAAATAAACAGAATTAATAATGGGCTAAAAATCTGCAGAAATCTGCGGAATTCTGCGCACGCAGATTCCGTCTGGGCCTACTAATGACCAGTCATTTGTTTTTATAAACATGCTTAACAGGAAATTGGCATTTAAGAAATTTTATTATCATGTGGTGTCAAAATCAATAATTTTTAAAGCCCCAGTAGTACTTATTTATTAGATATAGGAATTTATCATCTAAATAATTAAATTAGGATACTTCATCACCTTAGAATTATAAGGTTCTGTTTGACTTTTTTTTTTTCAAAATTAAGTTTATGATATTTTCTTATTTAATGACAGCTTATTTACATTATAGGATGTGTTTTTATAAGTTGTTTACATTTTAAGACTTTTATTTAAAAAAAACAAATGTTACATACATGCTGTTTGTTATATGGAATGCAAAAACTTTGAAGCTCAATATCTCAAAATCATTCAGAGCGCAGATAGAACCTTATAATTCCAAGGTGACAACTTATTCTTTACATATTTGTTTCAGTATAGTGACTTATAATCATAATGTTGTTACTAGTAACAAATCTAAAATATCTGGCATTTTGCCACATAAATACTACAATGCAAAACCCAATCAGTTAAGGTAACTTAAACCATTTGAGGTAACTGATTGCAACAAACCATTTAAGTTCAAAAACTAATCCTAATGAGTACTGTGAACTTAAGCACAGTAAAACCCAACAAATGAAGAGAACTCAAACCAACTGAGTACTGTAAAACCCAATAAGTTAAGGCAACTCAAACCATTGGAGGAAACCGATTGCTACAATTTTTCTTTTTTTACAAATAATCTATATGAGTACTTACTCCATTTAATTTGAAGTAATGAGCTATTTAATTAACTCATTACCTTCATGACTTAGTTCAAAACTCTTTTCAAATGAGTAGAATTAACTTTCAGTCAATTTTGAGTTAACTACACTCATTTCATTTGATAAAGTTGACTGTTGTGTTTTGCAGTGTAGTATTTACTATATTGTCACTTGCAACTATTTAAATAAATACTAGTGGTGATTTGTTAGGTAAAATAATATTCAAAAGAGATTCAGTAAATAAATAATAGACTGCGTTTGTGTGGAAAAATGTTAATCATGCTGTAATAATGTAACTTTTACCAGATTATTAGATTTCAAAAACATAATCTAAGCTTTTTTTAATCATTATATAATGCACATTTAATCAAAACTACCCAGCACTATTTACAATATCAGTTAGCAAAACAGTAGCATGTTTTTGTACACATTTAAATGACAAATGGCTGTGCTCACTTCTACTGTAAAAATAATATTGCCAATAACGGACGTTATAGTACAAAATATACTCAAAACAATGAATTCAGGAGGAAATTAACACACTCAGCTTGTCAACAAGTTCTTTGGATAAGTCATGGTAAATATACAAATACATATATCCAACCTGTTTTATTGCCAGGTCCATTTAAATACCAGCCTTACACAGGAAAAACTGAAGAAAAAAACAGTGTTCTTGTAATGTTTTGGGTTTATGATGAAACACTAAATCTCTTTATTTGTTGATTAATGCAATAAGACCAATACACAGAGTGTTATTGCCAAGAAACTCATGTTAATTGTATTAACTAGTTAGCTGTATTGAAGGAGAGGGAGTGAGATGTCTTGAATCTCAGGTTCTTTTTGATAAAGTTTAATGCTGTGTGATATATTTTCACTTTTCTGAAAACTAAATGAGGTACTACTTTTTATTCAAATGTATTTTCTGTCATTCAGTGTCTATACTTTCTCCTAAAAGGCAGAAGTTCAGAACTATTACGTCTGTGACTATTCTAAGTGAAAGGGTGCTTGACTTTCTGTTGCACTTTAAAGTCTGGTTTCAGAACACAACATGACTGAGTGCATCATCTGGCTTATTTTTGCATACTCTCTGCTCCCACCGCTTGTATTATATCTGTACTGTATCTTTATCAGTCAAACACTGGACATTCATGCAAATGTCATTTGTACTTTGGGATTTTATTCTTGTCCTAAATGAACTTTTTCAGTCTGTTTACCCTATGTGTGTCTAGTGTCTTGTGTTTTAAGTTTGATTATGCCTACTGGAGACACATCTGATTTGTTTGCTGAAGAACTATAACAATTAAGATCCTGTTGAAAAAAATCCAATCAAATAGTCTTAAACTATCTCCCACTCTTTGGACAAGATCCTGTTTTCATTTTAGTGTTTTAACAATAATCAACAGTGATCAGTTGCTGGAAACTACATTTGCATAGGCATTATCCCTAATTAACAAGGTAATTGAACAGTTTAAACATAGCTGAAGTAAAATAAAATATTGTAGTATATTATAAAAAAGCAACATAAGACAATATTTTTTTAAAACATGCTTAGTTAATGTATTGTTGTTTGTTTGATAACTTCCGACGTGTTAACTTTATTGTTAATAAAACAACTATTGGTTTAAAAAATGTGGTATTAAATAACATTAACATTTGATTTTAGTGCTGAAGCATTATTATGTTTTTGTTTGTTTGTGTTAACTAATAAGCAGTATTAAAATTTTTACAAGTTTTACCTAAAACAAATATTAGATGGAAACTGTAAAACGCTTCTTTAGCAGCAAACAGACATTAGTTTGTTTAACTTAAATTACAAACCTGAGAAAACAAACAATAAACCAAGCATGTGATTTTATTATATAGTAAACCAATTTAAATAAAATATGAGAACATAAAAATAGGAGACCTTTTAAAATATATATTTTATAACATAATGATAATAGCCATGTCTATGCCCCCCGAATTATAAACCCCCTGTGTTTGTTTTCACAATTTCTGTTTAACAGAGAGAAGATTTTTTTCAACACATTTCTAATCATAATAGTTTTAATAACTCATCTCTAATAACTGTTTTTTTTTATCTTTGTCATGATAACAGTAAATAATTTTTGACTAGGTATTTTTCAAGACACTTCTTTGCAGTTTAAAGTAACATTTAAAGGCTTAACTAGGTTAGGATAAGTAGGCAGATTAAGGTAATTAGGCAAGTTATGTATAACAATGGTTTGTTCTGTAGACTATTGAGAAAAAATAAAGCTTATATATAGTTTACAATTTTGAACTTAAAATGGCTTTTAAAAAATTAAAAACTGCTTTTATTCTAGCCAAAATAAAACAAATAAGAATTTATCTAGAAGTAAAAACATTATCAGACATACTGTGAACATTTTCTTGCTCTGTTTTTTATACTTTTAAGGTTGTTTTTTTTACCTTAAAAAGTACCAAAGAACACAACAAACAAACAATATTGTCTCAGAATATACACACTTTGCAGGTAAATATATGAATTGCCATACATGTGGGTTCAGCTGTTGGGGATAAAAAATGTAATGTCACATTGTATGTAGACATCAAAAAGTCCTATAAGGTAGTGTGCCAGTCAGTTTTCATAAAGGGTGCTGGATTTGGATAGAGCACGTTTCAGGTCTAAGTATCCAAGAAAGAGTTCCCAGGTAACAAAGAATTTTTCTTTGGAATTAGTCTTGATAAATCTGAGCCTTTCTAAGTGGACAATGGAGGCCATATCCATTAACCAGGTTCGAAAAGGAGGAGGAAAAGAAGATTTCCAGTTTTTTTAGTATGGCCACATTTTCTTGCTCTGTTAACAATAATTTGGGAAATATTTAAGAAATAAAAAAGAGGCTATTTTGTCACAATATTTGTGACAAAAAATATTTAAAAATCTAAAGGTCAATAAAAAAAGAAGTGCTTGTTGCAAATCAAACATTAATTTTGATATATTTACAGTGGAAAAGTTATAAGATGTATTCAGGATACTACTTATAATTCTAATAATGTTTGGCATAAAATGAAAATGCATAATTTAGCCATACAATCTGGCTATTTCTGGCCATTGACAAAAGTATACCTATGCGACAATTTTTTTATTTATTAATTTTTTATTTTATTCTTTTGCACAAGGGTCACATGTTCTTTTAAAAACAAAACAAAACATGATATTCTAGAAAAATAAAAATAACTTTGAACCCAGAATTTATCTATTGCAATGTTGAAAAAGGAAATCTTTTTAAACTAACAAACTTGAATTTGATATAAACAATTTGATTTGGAATATTTACACACTTAATGATAAATGTAACTTACTCCGAATGTTTGTGGGAGAAAGGCGAGAAGTGGCCATGTGGAGGCAGTAGTAAGTCAGGCCTGTCTTGACCACTGACTCCAGCGCAGATCTGAGCCGCTGCACGCTGCTGTCTCTGACTCTCTCCAGATCGAAGATGGCGGTGTCCGTGTTCTCAGGCGTGCGCCTCCTCTCCATCGGAGACGCCAATGGAGACATCCAGCGGCATTCAGAGCAGCAGCCTCTGCGACTGGAGATCAAGATGAACCAGGACGCGGCTCAAATCATCCTCTCGAACAGTGAGTAGATGCGGCTTTGTGGACACTTTGCATCCGGCCTCAGCTGAGCGGTGTATCCTAGCCTAGCCGAAGGAGAGTGATGCGCGTGCGGCGTGTGTGCGTGCGTTGCGCCGCCTGGACACCGGGAACGGAGGCGTGCGAAGTATTGGATCAAAAGCGGCTCTCGGACCCGTACATGTTCTTTAAAAGATTTAAAGCTGCCTAATATTGAGGTTTGGTTGCAACATGGTTGCCACAAACCACGTTGATAGTAGCATGTTAGCATCTGTAAACACTTCGTATTGTGTTAAGCTGCTTATAGTTAGCTGCTGCTACCCAGCTAATATGTACAAGCCGCGGCAATTCAGCAGTGAATGTGTTTCCCTAATGTGAAATAAACACATGTCCCGTGCATGAGGATCCTTGCAGGCGCGTGTCCTGGGCATCCAGGCTTTCTTCGTCCGGACTTTTCGAGAAAGTGGATTGGCGCCTATAAAGTTAGCCGCGGACTGGAGCTTCAGTCATACTGTTAAGCTTCAGAAAGTGATGTGGACACATCTCTTGTTGTGTTTTCAGGGGCTTCCTTTGTGTAAACATGTAACGGGTTTGTCGAAAGTGTTTTCGGCTGGTTGTTTGGTGGAATGAATGGGCATGCTGAGTTTACTTGATTGACTGCGCACAGTTCTGCACCACCTCTCCACTTTCACTAGTTACACACCAAAAGCATTTGGTTATCCCTGAGAGTGCAGGGAATGTTGCTAAAGTTTATAATGTTATAGTCACAGAGCGGTTTCTTATGGCAGCACCGTTTGGGCATTCATCTTTGTTCTGCGGGGAACAATAGCTGGTCCCCCGCCTCCTTTCCTCCAGCGTCCCGCCTGTTCATTCAGCGCTCAGGGCTTTTGTTTGGAGCCTCATGCTGCCGATGTCCCGTGGATGAGATGAATGTCTTACTGAAACAGATGCGCGACCCACATCGTATAGATTTCTCATTGAGAAGTTTTCGAGCGCCAAATGCCGCAGCTCTCTCAGCATTTTCAGGCGAAATAATATTTATTTATTAATTAATATATATTTAAGAATATCATATTTATGAGTTGCATTTTTGCGCATCTTTATTCACCTTCAGTCTTTATGAGGAAAAAATCTGTTAAACTAAAGTATTTGTGTCTCTCACTGTGGACTGAACACTTTCTGTGAATATGAATAAAATGTACACTGGTGTGAGATGAATAATTATGACGTAAGGGTCTGTTTGTTGTTTCGTGTAGCGGGTCTCCCCCTTCTGCGTCCTGCAGTGTTGACGTCACGTGGCAGACCTTGTTGTGTGGTTGACAAGGTTGCTGATTATAATAAAATGATAAAATTGAATTAAAATTATAATAAGATTAAAATTTTTATTTAATGTTATTTGAGTATTTACAAAAGTATATATTTATTAGCATCGGTAAAACATTTAGTTGTGTACACAAAGCGAATAAAAATGAGATTGTATTATAGTATTATATTTGTAATTTTCATCATTACTCCAATGCTAAAACAACAAATTATAATTTGCACGTTTAAAAATATTTATACAAGTTATCTACTTACCAAATAGTTTAGTCAAAAATACAATACATTTATATTTTTTATTCAACTTGAAATGGCTGTTTTCTATGTTAATATATTTTAAAATGTAATTTGTGATTCATTAAAGACACTATCCTTTGGAAATTGTCATCATAAACCAAAATGCATTTTACATATTATTTGATCAAACATTATTTGAATTGTCATGTCATGATTTCCACAAAACTTGAAGCACAAATGTTTTCAACATTGATAATTGTTAGAAATGTTTCTTGAGCACCAGATCATCATTTTCGAAGACTCATGTGAAACAGTAGATCGGAGAAGACATTTCATTGAAAGAAATAAAATACAGTAAATTGTATTGACAGTTATTTTTTATGTGAAAAACCTTTTCTCCAGAGTTTATTGTATTTTTGATCAAATCAGTGCAGCCTTGGTGAACAAAAGACACTTAAAAACATTTTTAACAAGTCTTAATGGTTCAAAGCTTTACACTCATGTATACTCTATAAATTAACAAAGTATTAAAGTGTACACAAACATTCTTTGCTAGTTAACAGTATTTTTACACATTACTTTCAGTCCACACTAGGCATGGGCCGGTATAAGTTTCTGATGGTATGATGACCTTGAGTAAAAATACCACAGTTTCACTATATAACAGTATATATTTCACAGTAATTACTGCTCTAAAATATGTTCTTTTTGAATGTCTTGGTTAAAAAAAAAGTTACATTTAAAATATTTTGAAACGGTAAGTCAGGCTAAATCATTTTAAAAAGTCATTGACTTCTGCTGTCTTCATTAGAATTCATTCACAGATTTCTTTTTAACTTGAAAAGGCATCTTTGCATATCTTTCCTTTTTTGGATATTAAGTAAAGCAACTGCAATGTTCAGCTTAAAGGTTTGCTTTTCAGATGTTTCCTGAATCCTGGTCCTTTTCTACTGTTGCCTACTGTTTTTCTACTGTCATTAAAAAAAAGGAACTTTAGGTACTTTAGGAACGGTATAACAGAAAATGTTAGCTGTTTTAAAACCTTGACTTTTCCAAATAAAATTCATTATCGTCCCATGTTTACTCCAAACCCCTTTAGACCAAGTTTAGTGGCTAATTGCAAATGTATATTTAATGGGGGAAAAAAGTACAACATTGAGCACTAACAGAGCAAAGACTGACAAGTTGACAAGCAGCACTCCTGATGTAAAGCTCAGATTATCATAGGTTGGCTTCAGTCACCTAGCCTCTGTTAAAGTGGGGTTTTCTTGAGCTGCTGTAGAGACTGTATTTGTTTTCAACTCAATTATATAATTGACTACCAGCCTAATCTGTCTGTGGAAAGCTTGAGATAATCCTACAACAGCTGGGGAAATAAATGACAAAATCCCTCATCCTGGCATCACCTTTTACTGTTGCAGTGTCGAGAGCTCGCCAACTTAATGTCTTTGAACAAGGCTGGTTGGTTTGATTTTGTTTAAGCTTGTAATGGTAACATTAAATCAGCAAACAACTCCCAGGAAAGATGAGTATTATAAATGCAAATATATTTAAAGTATACACATGTATGTGTGTGCTTTTTATGTATACATAATACATATCCACAGTACATGTATTAAGTAAATAAAAGCTTTTATTTTGTAATGTAATATGGTTTTATATAGTGCATTTATTACCATACACCCAAAGCCTTTTACACTCATGTAAGGTAATTTTCGCATGCAATTAGTCACATTTAATCTTTAAACAACACTAAAATGAACTTTTTCCTCACAAATTTTTAAACAATTATTCACTTAAAAGTGAAGAAATTATCATTTATACTCCCTTTTATTCCAGTTTATTAAAGTTTTTTATTTTCCTGTGGAGCACAAATGTTAAAATCAATCTTGTTATCGCTGTAAATGCCAGTCCAGTGTTGTTTTGCACCATTGACATTGATCATTGACTGTGACTGTATGGATAATGTTTTGAAACGTACATTTTCAGAACAATTAGTTGTTGTTTCTTCACTTAAAATGGTCAATAATATCCAAACTTATGAGTTGTTTTAATGCAGACTGCCTATTAGATTTATAATAACACTGTTATTGAATTCTAAAGGAAATGTTTTGCTCCCCTCCACAGATGAGGAGACGTGTGTCTTTAAGTGTACAGTATTGCGGGAGACAGAGTGCAGTCGTGTCGGGAAGCAGTCCTTCATCATAACTCTAGGCTGTAACAGTGTCCTCTTGCAGTTTGCATCTCCAGCAGGTAAAACACAGCTTCTTTTACAAGCCCATAATCCTTCATTGTGATTTATCAGACCTTCAGACAAGTGCATCGCCAGTCAGCTGGTGTGCAAACTCAATTAAATAAAAGAATCAAGCTCGTCCTAATGTGTTCACTGCTGTTGTTTTTCACTAGATTTCTCGTCGTTCTATAACCTCTTGAAAATTTGTCGTGGACAAAAAGGCGACCGTTCAGTCTTTAGTGACAGGACAGAGGAGTCTTCAGCTGTACAGTATTTTCAGGTGTGTCTGGCTTCTTATTGCCCTGCACGTGCAGATATTCATTTGATTTTGCCTTACAAGCTGAACCATGAAGAACAAGTTTAGAGAAAATCTGACTAGCATGACCGGAATTGGCATGTTGTGAACATCTTTTTCCCTCCATTTTCTTTCTCTCAGTTTTATGGGTATCTCTCTCAGCAACAAAACATGATGCAGGATTATGTACGAACTGGAACATATCAACGAGCCATCCTCCAGAATCATACTGACTTCAAGGATAAAGTAAAGCTATTCTCTTTATTTTCTCTTCTCCTTTTCTGTGTTAAATGTGCTTACAAGTTGAGAAGTTTTCAAACTGTTTTTTCAGTGCTTATTTGAGCATTTTTTGTTCCTAAATGTCATTAGTCAGGCATTTTTGCTTTTATGACTTTAAGGTTTAGCTTTGATGTTGTTCAGACTTAAATACCTAAAGCTGGAACAGTTGACTTATTGCGACAAAGTAAAAGGGGACACCTGAGTCAAATTTATTTTGAAAGGTTGCTCTTTTTTTTGAATGATGTTTTTCTGAATGATTTCTTATTAGATTAAATCTGTGGTTTGGACTTGGTCTTGCCTTGTCTTGTGATTCTTATGCATCCTTTTATCTTTTTTTTTTTTGTCTCAGGTGGTGCTGGATGTAGGTTGTGGCTCTGGCATTCTCTCATTTTTTGCAGCTCAAGCTGGTGCCCGTAAAGTTTATGCTGTGGAGGCCAGCACCATGGCTCAACATGCAGAGGTTAGACACATTCCTCAATCACTGACATGCGCTTCTGTTCAAAAAAGGTAGATTAGTCTCTTATTTTTACCAAGGCAGCATTTTTGTATATATTAAAATTGAGTTTATGCTTCTAATGGCAAAACTGAGTTTTCAGCATCATCACTCCAGTTCTCAGTTTCACATGATCATCCACAAATCATTGTAATAGACCTATGCAAAGATGACGTTAAAAACCAAAACTCTAATTTGCCACTTGTTCACTGAAGGTTTTACAGTTTAGGAGTTGGTACTTGGAGGTTTTATTGTACAATGTGAACGTTACACACACACACACACACACACACACACACACACACACACACACACACACATTCTTACTACATTTGAAAATAAAAATAAACATTTATATGAGTAAAATATGTTTGTTGCACAGCAAAGCGTAAAAGTTTGGATAATTTATCTTTACCACAGACTCACAAATAAAATAACTCAAAGAAAAATACTTAAGGTTGTTAAGATAATTTAATAGGGTCATTTTAGCCATAAACTCTTTGTAAACGGCCCGTTGTTCTACTCTTACAGTAACTAACAGTATTTACAATATATTTTTATTTTTAAATAGAAAAAAAAATCAAAAGTCCTTTTCCTCTTGTGTTTTTGTAGGGAGGTTATTTCGCCATTAAAGTTGTTTTTATTTATTTCTGCTCTAACATGTATAATAAGTTCTTTGCTGCAGAGATAATTTTACAGATTAGCTTTTATAGAAAATAACTCTTTTAAATAAGTTTATCATACGATGCTGCTCATGCACCTAACATTTTGGAAAAACTGTGCTAAAACATGAAAACTGGGCTGATGTACTGTTCTATTGAGATTTTTTTAACGCTGTCCTGGGATATTACCATGCTTTGAAATAATCAACTTTTTATTTGCGCTTTAACACTTTTTAACACATCTATGCACAAGTACACTACCTAATGTAAAGGAGCAAATTGAACCTGATTGGTTAATGGGGTAGATGACACAGCCAGATACCAAAACTAACAGTTTAATGTTTATTTTTAGGCCGTGCTGAAAACTATCATTCATATTTTACACTTAAGGAGTCACTTTTGAGTTCTTAGTCTTGCATTGTTTTGTTGCATAGGTTTGAGGTCTCATATGAACAAAATAGGGCTGTGCGATTAATCGAAATCGAATAGCAATCGTTATTTGAAACATTTCGATTAGCGAATGGCAAAAGGCTGCTATATGAAATATATATTAACTTTCCCACCCAGACCAAATGTGTAACTGCCATCTGTGTGTGACAGTCTTACTAGCCAATTAAGTGAGCACACTTGCATTCTGCCCAATCAGAATTGCACAATCAAACTATGCGGAATGCCCAAAATAAAATACAAACAAACAGGAAAGCGCAAACGAGTGAGATGACGGTGTCTGCAGCTTTAGAAGCATTAATAGACAAATTAATATCAAAGAAAAAAACGCATGACGATAATATGGGAATATCTTGGTTTCAAAGTCACTGACACCAAACAAAACCAGGTAATTTGTAAGAGTTGTCGCAGAATTGTTGCCACAGAACGAGGAAATACAACCAGCACCTAAAAAAAGTACCACGGGCATCTATATGAGAAGCGTCTTGCTAAAAAGTCAACTAAAATTACGGTCAATGATACACAATCTAGTATCAAGCTAAGTACAATTTTAGAGTTGTTTGCTAATATAAGTTGCTATCTTTTCAGTTCCTTTTTTTTTTTTTAACTAAGGGCATACAAACTCTATGTACAGTTGCCTTGAACCGAGCCGAAGCACACTCATCTCCCCCTCCCGTTTCCCCCGACGGCCCGCACTCGCATCACATTCGGGCCTGAGCATGCGTACGTCATGGATAATGCTCTGTTCAGTTAAAGAAGCGCTCTCGCTCAGCACAGTGGAGATTTCTTTATATCGTTATATCATTTTAGTTGTTTAATATGCAGTGACACGCAGTCAAATATTTTGCTGAACAGATCAGCCACTTTTGACACTCATAAATGATCATAAAATCCTAGTGCTGCAGGAATTAGGAGGTTTGCAGAAGGTGCAGTGAGGGGCTTGCGTCTTTAATAATCTATGACAGTTTGCGTTCATTGAACAGTAAGAATGATTAATAAATCCATATGAAACAGTCCCTTAAACTCGCGTCTGGTCTTCAGTTTCGGGTTCAGTCATGTTTTGCACTCACACTACAGGCGTACCGGGCCTGAGCCCAAGTGAACCGCGCTCTGTCACACCTCTTCCAGCAGGGCCAGGGCTGGCCAAGTGAACCAAGCCTGAACCCGATTCAGAGCACTTACACTTCCCAAACGATCAGAGAAACGGGCCTGGTCATGGTTCAGATAGCATAGTTTGTGTACGGCCTAACACTCACTGCATTTTAGCAGCAAGAAGCTATGATACAGATTATTAAGCTGAAGCTTGACTACAAAATAAATAACAAATCAAATTCAAATCGCAATATCTGTAAAAAAAAAATGGCAATTAGATAATTGCACAGCCCTAGTACGAATCCAGAAAATAGATTATCAATTTCATGATTTTAATACTGCATCATTTCAAACGTGTTTTTAGTATATAAATTATTTGAATGCATGGAAAATTGATTTGGATACAATAGTGGTGGTTATGCCAATATGGTGGTACTAATGATAATTGTGTATCCACAGGTTCTTGTAAACAGTAACAGGCTGTCAGAGCGTGTTGTGGTGATTCCTGGGAAAGTGGAGGAAGTGTCTTTACCTGAGCAGGTGGACATTATCATATCCGAACCCATGGGCTACATGCTGTTCAATGAAAGGATGCTGGAGAGTTACCTACACGCCAAGAAATTCCTCAAGCCCAGTGGTGAGTGAAAAAAGTCTTATTCAAAAACACTGACATATACAAACATCTGTACATATTACACCTCTGCTCTCTTCACAGGCAAAATGTTTCCCACCATTGGAGACGTTCACCTCGCTCCGTTCACAGATGAGCAGCTTTACATGGAGCAGTTTACAAAGGCCAATTTTTGGTGAGCTTTCTTAAAGAGGACATGGACACTGGGTGGGGAGAGAGAGAGGGAGAGAGTAAAGAACAGCATGTACGACAAGAAGTGTGTGCAAATAAGTGTGTCATCATACCGGTAGCAGATTTCAAATGATAGACAAAAAGTGTAGATAAACAGTGATTTAAGACTGTTGAGGATGACAACTCAGGATGATTTACTTAATGTTTCCTCTTGAAAAACAGAATTTTCTTGTTTTTCAGGTACCAGCCGTCTTTTCACGGAGTGGATTTGTCTGCGCTGAGAGGAGCTGCAGTAGATGAATACTTCAGACAGCCTATTGTGGTGAGAAATGGGAGGGAATGACTAGCAGATTGGGTGTGTGCTAGTTAAAGGACATGCTGGCTTTTTAGACTTGGCTACAGTTTGGAAAGTTGGTAAGGCAGGAGGCCATAAAACACACGAGCTTGTGTTTGTGCCTTCAGGGGAAAGATTACCCTGATAAATAGTGTGTGAAGTATGAAGGTAACTGGAGATTTGCCTCCACACCAGTTATAGATAAGCAGTGAGCATTGGGGGGGGGGGGGTAAATACGGACAGGATTGAGTTTCATACTTAAGCTCAAATGAGAAGGGAGGATGTTTCTAGGAAGAGGAGAAAGCCAGTTTGCTTCATGGATTAGCAAAATAGATTCAGTGGTGGTTGTATATAGGAGACTGAAGTGAAGTATGTGAGCTCGCCTTTATGTGCGTGATGAAAGGCTTTACTTTGTGGTCAGGGTTTCCGAACTTACTGTTTTTGTATGGTCGGTGGGAATGCAATGAATTTTCGCCCATCTAGAAGAGTATATAAAAGCATATCTTTGTATGTACAGAAAGTCCACGTGTAATTTTGCTTCAGGGGTCGTTGGTGTAAGAGTTGCTGTTTCCTCTTGAGAAGCCAATTATTGCAAGTTGTCGACTGTGCTTTTTGTGTGAATTTTATTTTGCAGATTTTCTTAAATAGTTTACAGGTGGGCTGGGTGATGAAACTGTAATGATAATTAACTAAATGTTCCATGATTAAACAATTGCATGTTCAATATGTTTGGTCTAATTTAATATGCTTTAAAGCAGAATTACTTGTGTGAGTGTTTAGCTTTGTTTTACATGCGGATATGTCTCGTATTGATCGTGCAAACATTAAAGGGCAGCACTTTGAATTTGAAAATGTTTATATTATTTAGTTTAAAGGAATATGAAATGGCACTGATGAACAGGAGAAACACTATGCCATAAACGATTGATTTACCATGGATTTAACATGCTAGTATTTACGGCGCTATGCCATTGTGGCAGGGTTGAGAGATATGATTTGTTATATTGTTAATGTAGGGAACTATTACACTGTTTTCTGTTTATTATTGTATTTACATTGGAGTTTTTCATGTAATTATTACATAAACCAGAGTTTCTGTTTGTATCCTGTTTGCCATGATAGTTTTTTTTTTTTTTGTCATATTCCCCAGTTTTTATTTCAATATGTCCCAGTTGTAGTTTCCAGTCTGTTTGTGTGCTGTATGCCCAGCATTAGTCAGCTGTTCAGGCATTTTCAGTGCCTGTAACGGTGTTATACTGCTGGGACAGTGACCTGCCGCGGTCTGGCTCTAGATGGCGCTGTTGTAGCGTCTTTCAGAGTTCAGCTGGAGGCAGGAGAGCCCTCTGAGCTAGGACTGAGTCTGCTTCGCTGTGGCTCAGCCCTTGACAGGAGGCCTCACAGAACGTCGTTGTGTTTGATTTGACCCACTTCCTGATCCAGATTCAGGGCTGAAGGTTATTCTGCCTGCTCTCATTTATCCTCTGATTTCTTTCAGGACACTTTTGATATCAGGATCCTGATGGCTAAATCTGTCAAATACACAGTCAACTTTTTAGAAGCTAAAGAAGAGGATCTTTACAAGTACGTTTACACCCAAAATCCGATTTACCTTGCAGCCTTTTTAAGATGTGTAGTATAAGATACACTCTCCACTTTTTGTTGTTTTCTTGTCCTTTCCAGGATAGAAATCCCCTTCAAATTCCACATGATGCATTCAGGGCTTGTACATGGGCTGGCATTCTGGTTTGATGTTGCATTCATAGGATCAGTGTAAGTTACAAACCTGCTATTATGACCCGTTACCACTGAGTGGTACGGTATGGGTCGGTACACTTTTATGGTGTTTTCACTGTCAAAAGGTACCAAAAAAAGCAAACTGTACCATACTACTTTTTGGGTACCCTTTCCAAAGCGTACCTAGCATGACAAAAGGATACCAAAAGGTGGAGTAAGAATGGGGCTTCCTTTGTTTTCATTCTCCTGGCTTGTGCACAAGCTAGTGACACATCTCTGTAAACCAACAGCATTATTTTTAAATACACAGCCAAGATATTATATTGTAATACTAAATGCAAATAATAATGAGCCATGGTCGACCCGAGCTCAAACAAACCTTGTCTTCGTCTTGATGAACAGTCAAAAAGGCTACAAAAACAAAATCTGCTGTGTCCTATTGTTGTTTTACGAGGGCATTTAAAAGCGTGTGTGGTTTTATTTTTTCCAGAGAGCTTGTGTGCGCTCGCTGTGCGTCTATACTTAAAAATAACGAACTTCTCATGATAATAACGTGCGCGTAATTACTGAAGTGCTTCAGACGTTCAATCCTTTCAGAAACTGACAAACTTGAGAGTGAAGCGCAAAAAAACAAAAAAAAACAAAGGAAAAGCCAGAAAAAACAAAGGAGCTGATCTTCCTTCAGCAACCTAAAACTGAACTAACTGCCATGCTTAACTATTATCATCTGCTTTTGGACTATTATTATCACCTTATGGACTTTGAACTTGGAATGACGTAATTCCTTTTTAACAAGAGGTTACATGTGCTGGTGAAGATTAAAGATACAGATGAGAGGTTTGTACTGACTGTAGACTATATGTTGCATGTTGTTTTTAAACCCAAATAAGGACTAAACGTATGCTGGTACATTGGTACCTTTTTGGCAGTGGAAACACAACCCTGATAAAGGTGACCTGTACCGAACCACTCAGTGGAAATGGGCCATTAGTGATGTTTTCACATTTGAGTCCATTCTGAAAGAAACAAACTTTACCTAAAAAAAAAGTGTGTAATGTAAATAATACAATAAAAATAACAGGTATTATAATAATGAAATTGTGTGTTTATTTCCCCAATATATCTAGAGTAGTCATAATGTGAAACAATTTAAATTTTTATATTTTTATGAATTTATATACTGTACAATTTAAGTATTGTGTGCACTGTTTATAGTTCTAAAAGTAGTGTCGTATTATTACTACAACATTAATTATGATAATAAATATTTGGAATGAAATATGAAAACAAAGTGAACCCAATGTGCTAATCATGAAGTAATTTACAACATTTCTCAAAAAATTGCTATTGTACAGATTCAAATGTGCATTCTTATAGGAAAAGCAGTAGTCACATTGGTGTTACTTTTAAATTAAATTATTATTATTTAGAATTGTTTTACTTGGTTAGATTTTTAGAACTGAAACACAAGCATGTGCATGATTAAAAAAAGATTACTAATCATTTCCAATGTCATACTTCTGTTGTACTCCTTTATGTAACTTAACTTTAAAACTTTAACAACTTTGTTGTTGTAACAGTTTTTAAAGATAACTGTAAAGAATTGCTGTGTTGAAATTTAAACATTGTGTAAACTTATTAATAATTCCACTATTTGGATGTGAGGGAGCAGATGTACTGTTTTATAATCTGTGACAGGTTTGCTCTTGTTTATGTGTTTAGGATGACGGTGTGGCTCTCGACGGCCCCCACAGAGCCCCTCACTCACTGGTACCAAGTGCGCTGTCTGCTGCAGTCACCTCTCTTTGCCAAGGCAGGGGACACAATGTCAGGCACTGCACTTTTAATCGCCAACAAGAGGTAAGGACACACAATGTACAGAATTAACATGCTTTCAAATTCATTTGCATTAAATTTGGTCTCTCTTGATCCGTATCTTGAATGACACCATTGTCATAATAATTAGTCTGTCATTTGGGAACCACACATAACATTTTTGCTTTACTTTTCTGGAATTGTGCACTTGTTTTAAAAAATGTCTACCATAAAATGTTGATGTATAAAATGTAAAATGTTGTTTAATCCTTGATTTCTAGTCATGTTATGGTTTAGGATGCTAATAATGAAAGTATAATGTGCACACATTCAAAAAACCTGAGGCAGGTGTTTCATCAAAAGAATTGCTGAACTTTCATTAAAATAACTGGCACTCTGCCAGTGCTGCGTTTAGTAAAAAAAAAAAGAAGAAATTTATTTTAAAATGCATTATTTTTACCTAAAGGTCTTTGTGTGTTTGCCTGTTGGAGACCTTTTGCTAAAAACTTTGTATTTTTATTAAATTGCATTTTGAGATCAGAAGTGACTGTGTGCTGATTTTTGTTCATATACAGTTAAGTATTTAGGATCCAAAAAAGCTTTTGTAGATACTAAAAGGGTCTTTAAAACCTTTGATTTGTAAAACCTTTCAGATGCTCTGGTTAAACCTCTTTTTTGTGTTTTTTGTGGTTAACAGACTCATTTGTTTCCATTTCCTCTCTCAGACAAAGCTACGATATTAGTATTGTTGCTCAAGTGGATCAGACAGGCTCCAAATCCAGTAATCTACTTGATCTCAAGAACCCTTTCTTCCGGTGAGTGAATGCATTTCTTTGGAAACCAACTAAACAATGCAGAACACATGCTGCGTACCAGTGTTGTTTTAGTTTCTTTGACATAACATTATAAGGGCTTTTCACATAACAATAGAGCTAGATAATGATAAACTGAATCATAGGTTGTATTGCTTCTGGTTTGCATATTTCATAAATTAGATGGGGTTAACAAATAATCTTGGATATAGTTTAAGAATGCTGATGTTTCATAATGTATATTCCTAAAATAACATCTTTATTATGCACATTTGTAGTATAAGTGTCATTAGCCAGGTTGCCATGCAAGAGATCTTTTGCTACAAGTTTTAATGGATAAACATTTCTTACAATAAAGCTTAAGTGCCAATTAGCAATTATTTTAAGCAAATGTCACTATATATATTTAACTTTGGTTCATGAATTCTGTATTGATACTTTAAACGTTACAAAAACTATTCTGGACATTCTTTCACACACATGGTGTCACATAACACATTTTCAGGAGCATATTGAATGGTAGGCTCACCTGTGCAGATGCCAAGCTGCAAACACCAGTGCATCATGTGCACTTCCAATGCAAACCTCTTCTATTCTGCACCTGTCATCAACAAGGGCCTGGAGAACAACAGATGTCCACCCTTTGCAATTTAATGTAATCACTGTAGCCTTCAGTTGGGGAAGAATAGGCAGGTGTGTCCCATTCAGCAACACTGTAAACCGGTGCTGCAAGATGTCTCAAAGAATTTCAGTAGACCCACAGTGAGTTTTGCAGTAAAAGTGCTGTTCCTTTAAACTAAATTAGATTCAATCTATCTTTTCAATTATTTGTGAAATTTTAATCATATTGAGATCAGTAAACTGTCCGATAGTCTCAGACATCACATCAAGCACCACCCACAGACCTTTTTTTCTAAATGTCTGATGCATGTGGCACACATTTCTGGAAACACTTTAGCAGATCCTCATTTGTCCTCTGATTGGTTTAATTATACAGACTTTCTGGCAGTCAAATGTGCAACAAGCTTAATTAGCCTGTATGAAAACAAAGCTGTGATGTTTATATTGAGGACAGTGTTCATTTAACGTATAACTTTCTGAGAAATTGATGAATCAGAGATATACTGACTTCACATCTAATACTGTAAGGAAAACTTGGAGCATTTATCAATTGAACTTAAATGCTGGATTATTAAATGCAATACTCGCTGCAAAAAAAGCTTCAACCCGTGATGTCGACAAACCACAGGTATGCATATATATATATATTTTTTTTCTAAATGGCAGTGAAATCCTTCAGATTTTCTATCATTTTGGTGATAAAGAGAAACGCATCATTCAAAACAGTTGCTTTTTTCACTTGTGGATGCTCACAAATCTAACAAAACCTTGCTTTTAACGAACAAAGAAAACTTTCACTCAGTCTGTCTTCTCTTATGAAGAAATACTTCATGAATAATGAACGAATCTCAGAACAAAGCCTTACAGATATCCTATATGTTTTGCTGACAGATAATTAAGGATATTGATGCGTCGTTGTAAACGTTTAAAGACAATAGTGAAAGAGTGATTTGCAGTTGCTTGACAGACTATTTATCTTCAGGACATTTCCACACCCACAAACATTGCATGACACAAAATGTGATTGGTTAGTTCACTTGTCAGTCAAATAACATAGGCATTCCTTGACCATTAAAGTGGCTAAAGTTCTCAGAGCTACAGTCGTCAATCTGAGGTCTGGCTATGCGAGACTAACTGTCAGAACACTAAATGGTGGTTGTTGTTTTTTGAGGAGGAGGGGTAGACGTAGGGTGTTTGGGAATAATTTCTAACATGAAATAATGGACGGAAACTGCTGTTATACATTTGCAGTAACTCCATATTTACCTTTCGTCAATCGTGATGTCATCATGCACACCTGTTTATTATGAAAAGATTGGAACGGCAAAGGTTGTAGATGGCGAGTGTCAAATGTTATTTCTTATACATTTATTTTGTCAACAACAAAACAAAATTATATGAAACCTGGCTATTGATTTGAGCACAGCATGCAGCCTGTTTACATGTAATCTGTCAATTTAAAGAATTGTTTGTACAAAGCACTATTTCCATGACTGTCCAAAAAATGAAGCACATGATTGGCTGTGATGTTCTAACATCACGTAATATCACACTATACTTGCTTGGCTCCTTAGTGTGGTGTTATTATGCAAAAGTAATGGGTTTTTCCATTCCTTTACCTGGAGTTAGAAGCAGAACCCAGAACAGTGGAAAAGATCCTGCAGTTTTAATTAATATTTTGAAATAGATTTTATTTTTCTAGTTTCTGTTTTCTATGTAGCCTTTATTGAAGTTGTGGTAATTTTCAGTCCTTTTTATTTTTGTTAAAATGTCTGTATAGTTTCAATTCTATTTTTAGTTTTAGTTTACTTTCATTTTAACCTAACCAAAAACAAGGAATGTTGTCTTGTACATTTTGGGGAGGAATATGAAATATTCATATTTCATTAACTTAAAAAATAATTTGTTTTTCCATGGCTCCAAGTTAGTTGACCATAATTCCCTTATTCTGTGTTGTGTTTCACAGGTACACGGGCACAACACCTGCCCCTCCTCCAGGTTCACATTATAGCTCTCCCTCAGAGAACATGTGGAACACTGGGGGAACATACAGCATGAGCCAAGGCATGGCTGTGTCAGGTACAGCACCTGGACGCTTCTTACAAATTCTAAATGTATTCCCTAAATTCTCCTCATGGGAAAACCTGGTATAGTCATGGAATTTTGACATGGCATCTTTCAGGCCTGTAAAACATTTTGGAAAGACAAACCCGCAATGTTTTGGAAAAGTCATGGAAATTTGTTTAACAAATATGTGTATACTCGAAAACATTTTAATTGGTATTATTAGTTACATTTTTATGTATAATTGTGCGGTCGGTCTCTCAATGTGACTTTGTCTTCGTGAGCTTAAAAGAAAATTAATTATACTTAAGTCAAGGAATATGTTGAGTGCTGTGCTCAGAAACAATCGCAAACTGCAGAGGCAAGATACTGTTGAATTTGTATTCTTATAAGTCTATAATTTTTTAAAATATGATCACACAAACGGCAAGATATCAGCTATACAGTAGTTTGTATGTGGTGAATGCATGCTCTCATATTTATGTACTTGAGGACTGTCCTTATTTATAGAAACCGCCTTCTGCAAATTTATCGGAACAGAGTGTTTTATCATAAATGTTTAATATGTAACCTATTGAAGTAACTGGATTTTGGTTTCACTTTAACATAAGCTCAATTTTGCAATAGAAGATATTTGTCAGTGATATTTGTCAGGGTTTTTGCTATATACACTAACTTATGTTTTATAGGTCATGTTAAAACAAAGGGTTAACAAAATAATGTCAAATTATTAAATATTATTCTTGCATGTGGGTTGATGTGCAGCACTAGCAAGTGGCCCCATCTAGTGGAGCCCACAGTATTCTTCAGTTTTTACCCTAGATTGGTATTTTGGATTGGTACCTTACATTTCTTTTCTGAAAGTTATTATTGCTTAATTAGTGAAGTGATGCTGTTTGTTAATCATATTAATATCAACATGAACCAGTTAATCTATTTATTTAAAAATGTTATGTTAAACTATAAAATAGCTGGAGTCAGAATTGAGTTATCGTAATACCTTGTGTTTTGGTTTGCCAAGTGTGAAACTTTTATTTTCTGAAAATAGGTGCATATAGTATTTAGCCTCCTTCCAATCTTTACTTATAGTTAACACTGATTTAAGCTTTTATTATTAATGTTATGAAGGATTTGTCTTTTTTGTTATTAGTTTTATCATTTGTTATCAGTAATGTTTATCATTATTTGTAAATTGTGTGTAGAAATTACAATTAATGGTATAGCCTTGGCCAATCACATGCTCTCACATAATGCTTCCACACATCAATGTTAAATAAAATAATATATCATACATTTTACATAGACATAAAATAAATATAAATTGCATGTATTGTCACATATTTTATGAAATGCTGTGTTGAAAGTGCACATGCATTTTTACTTATTATTTACCTTGTATACAGAGACTTCGCATGACACATTAGATCATGAATATTTACCTGAAAGTAAAGGTAAAATGAACCCTGACTGTTGTGATGCGACTCAGATGTTTCTCTCTCTCTCTCTCTTTGTGTTTCAGGGATGCCTACAGCCTATGACCTCAGTACTGTCATTGGTGGCAGTGGGACAACCGTGTCCCACAACAATCTCATCCCCCTTGGTACAGACACGCATGCACGTATGGATATTTACACACACGCTCACAAATACACATAATACTTTCTAGCCCTCTAAGATCCCAACTGAAGTTTTAAAGAAATTACATGAAGTATTAAAGGGGCCACATCGTGAAGGATCCCGTTTCAATTCAGGGTTTCCACAGGTCATGACATTTCTGGAATATTATGGAGTTTTATCAGGGTATTCAAGTCATTAAAAGTCAGAGAATTTTACATATTTTTCATGTCAAGTCATGGAATATCAGGGACTTTTATTTGTCATTTAACTTCCCATTTCTGTACCATGTTTGATGTGTTGTTTCACATGGTTTTGCCTGTTGTTATGGTTAGGCTATTTTTCACTGCCATTTTATTTTTTTTACTTTGCTATCACCAATCAAATGCATTCATCATGCTGTACTTGTGGCTGTTTTTAACTGCGCAGTGCTCAACCAGTCCTTCCTGAGTTTTGTAGGGGAAATTTTTTTATTATTGTAGCATAAATGTATGGAAATTGTTTGTTTGTTTTTGCTGTGGCTGAATGTTCATTGCAATAATACAACTTGATGTGAAACACGTCACAGACCTAAGTGCAGAAGTGCAGTGCCATGCCATACCATACTGTACCGTCCCGTAGGGCTAGTCCAATAAATGCTATTTTAATCAGTCATGATCAAATTTATGTCAAAAACATTGATAGACTCTGCACTTTTTCACTCTTTATTGATCTTAGAGCCAATCACAGAGCAGAAATGTACAGCTATGGGAATCTAAAAGTGAGTTAAAATTAGAATGTACCGAATTTTTGGCCACTGAAAATTTATCAGTCAAAAATGTTCTATCACTTAGTTAGGGTGTCTGCGGGGTCTTAAAGTATTAAGTTGATAAATCAGTTATGAGAAAATTAAGGCCCTTAAAAAGGATTAAAAAGTCTTAGTCACATTTTACGAGGTCTTAAATTTTGTTCAAGCGTTGTCCAAAGTGTTTGACTCCAAAAAAGCATAAATATATTTATTTTTCTCCTAATATTAACAACGGCGTACTCGATCAATGCCATTGGTTCGTGCTGCGGTGTGTTCTAGCTCCTCCATGGGTGATGTAATCTGCGACAAACGTGGGAAGGTGATGTGACACTCTTCGCATGTAGCAAAACCATAGAGTGAAACAGTTGGTAAAATGTAAGTTTGCGTACTCTAATTGAGGAAAGATGAGTGTAAACAGTGGCTGAAGCCTGTCGCTGAAAACAACCACGTAATTTGTATTTCATGCTTTGTTCCTTCCGAGCTTATCCGTGTTCTGTTGCATGGTTGTGCTCCATTTAATTTTTTTATCTACAACTGTTAATTAAGTTAAAGGTTTGGTTCCACATTACTAGAACTTTCATTAGTTGAACTTGAACTGGCGATGAAGTATTAAAATATTTAGAGAAGGTCTTTAAAAAGTCTTAATTCAAATGAGGGTTCCTGCATATACCCTGGTAATGGACTCTCTGATTTTTGTGGCTTCAGTCATTGTTGGGGTACTCTTAAATCTGAAAGCATTATCAACTTGCGTTAATATATATCATTATCATTCAATATGGATAATAATAAGGTTAGGTTTTTGGCATATCGCCCAGCCCTAGTGTACCGTGTCTATGACGGCTCAAGAGATCACACACTAGTTGAGCACTTTCTATATGTGAATATGCTATTTAATATAAAACTGATCCATGTCCTGGTTGCCCAAATGTGGATGGACCGCTCGACACAACAGCTTCCTGTTTTTTCTGTTCATAAAAGGTCATGAAAATTCAGCTTTTTACTCAGTGAAAGTCAGGGAATTTGACATTTGGCTTTCAGTGGGAACCCTGTTAATATTTCTGTTACTTGCATACATCAAAACATTTAAAATCCATTTTAAAGCTAAGCTATAAAGCTACTTGAATGGCCCATTATGAGTTTTGTTGGTGGAAGGCATTTGATATAGTCTATGTGCAGTATTCATTGACTACTGTTGGATGATCAGAAAATGCCATTTATAATTGGACCTTGTGGAAATAAAAATAAATAAATGTGACCCCTTTAATATCCATTCTAAAAGCCTTAGTTTAAGACTCTGTTTCAGTCTCCAAGTATTAAGGTGTTGATGTAGATGACATTGTCTGTGTAAATTGAAGAGGGGTTTGTTTGTGTTCGTTCCTCTCCAGTGAACACGGGGATCGTGAACCACACTCACTCCAGAATGGGCTCTATAATGAGCACAGGAATCGTCCAGGGTGAGTGTCTATTTCTAGAAATGTACATCACTCTTTAAATGTATGATTTTCTCACCATCATGTCATATTAAACAAATAGGGAGACTTTGATCAACTACTTCATACAAATAAGCTTTCTTACAAGCAAAACAAGAAATGTTAATAAAGTCAATTGTTTATTTTGAATATGAATGATTGCATTTATGTAGAGTTTTTAACATGATTTGCTGCACATCAGCTTTTAAAGTGCTCTTATGTGCTTTATTGTAGAGCTGCACAATGTATCAATTCAGGATCGATATCACAATCTGATCATTTGCAATAGTCACATCGCGAGAATATGCAATGTTGAGTCTGAATTATAATTTATTATTTCACAAGTTTTTTTTTTTTTTTGAGGACTTTTTGAGAGTTTTAAAAGCATTCAGGCTTTAAATATTGTACTGTTTGTGCCCTTAACAAATTAACCATGATAAGTTTTATTGAGTTTTTAAATAAAAGACTATGCAGTATTATTGTACATTTGATTATTCAATTACTGTATACCTGAATACTGTTCGACTGTTTTTTACATCATAGGTCTCAAAGTCAATTCGGGGAGGGCTGCAGCTCTGCACAGTTTTGCTCCAACCCTAATCCAACACAGCTGATGCCACTAAATAAGGTGTTCTAAACCTTTTTGAGCAACTCGATTGTTCAAGTGGTGCTCGCTGCAGAGCCATTTGGGCGAGCTGAGCTCCAGCGAGGGGGAGCTTGAGCTTGAGCTCCACCTTTTTTGCACTTCTTCTACGAGTGATGTCACTGGGGGTAGGGTTAGGGGTGGGGTTGGTGTACGCATTAAAACAGCTTACAGGAGGAGGAGCGAGAGCTCATGCTCCCCCTCGCTGGAGCTCAGCTCTGCTCAAATGGCTCTGCAGCGAGCACCCTCTCCGATTGTTTGGATCAGCTGTGTTTGATTAGGGTTGGAGCAAAACTGTGCAGAGCCAGGAATTGAGTTTGTGACCTATGCTTTACATGCTGTCACATGATGAACGAACGACTCAAAAACCAGAAAACTTGAAAGGTGAACTAATCATGGCTCCTTTCAGCGCAGACTGTGTGCATTGGTTAAGCTTATATGGAACTGTCTGTGTGACGTAAACGAATGACTCAAATTTAAGCTGTCAGAAAAGGTGAGCTGACATGATCATAGACAAAAGAGCAGATAAACAAGAAATGATTATTTTCTCTATTAGGCGCATATTAAATGTTGATGGAGAAGTCCATGCGAGTGGCTACTAACAGTAGTATCTGTTGTTTTTTTGACGACTGCACACACAAAGCAGGAAAGTCACACCTTCTGGATGAGTTGTAGATTAAGAATCTTATAAAAAAGTAACTCTTTATACTGATGTTCAGTTTGTTTAAATTAGTTTGGTGTTACAAATGAATCATTTCAATCAGTGCCAGGTTATACTATAATTCATTTGTATGTAATATATTAATATAAGTACTATTCAACTTGAAGTGCTATTGACTTTATTCTGTAATGCGGAAGTGCGCTCATTTTGCAATTTGTTTTAGGACTTCCGATTCAGTCGTCTATGAGAGAAATGACTTGGAATAATAAAATGATCAAACTACTTTCTCTACAAACAAGTGTTTACATTACTTTCTTACAGCATTCTAGTTATGACTTGTTTGTAGTGTGATGAATGTTTGGGCTAGTTATAGATGAGTTTTAAAGCAACTCGTAGCCTTTTAATATTTTAGGCAAATTGAACGAAATGACTCAAGAAAAAAAAAACAAGATTTGTTCATCTCAACAAACGAGACTCAAAGGTCCAAGTCAGTAAAATGATTCAAACTTCACATCTCTATAAATCACAAAGTTTTAAGATGGCACAATGTGAGCACTTTAAGGCCTTGATCATTAAATGTTCTGAGATACAAAGGTTATAATGTTGCATTTTTCTTCTCAGGGGCAACAACTGCGCAGCAGGGTCCAAGCAGCGCCAGTCTTCATTACCCCGTCACCAACCAGTTCACCATGGGCGGCCCGGCGATCTCCATGGCATCTCCAATGGCCATCCCCAGCAACACCATGCACTACGGGAGCTAAGGCTGAGGGGACGGCCTCTGCATGTCCGATTCTCCAAACGTCCCCTTTACCCCCCCTGCAAACCAACAGCCAAATTCAGAAAACCAAAACCAGTGCACCAGTCTCTGACCATCACTTTATACTCTCTCTCTGTCTCTACATATATATATATATAGATATACATGTATACTTATATGTATATATTCTAAAATTTCTTTCACTGGCGTTTTATTCTTACATATCCGTCCCGCGGCCCTATAATGTTAGCGTGCGCAGGCATTTGGCCAGTTCAACGTGCCTGAGTTGTCACTGTTACTCACAAATCCCCCTCCTCCAAAGCCACATGCAGCGCCTGCTCCACAACCAGCCACTAGGAGGCAGCACTTGTCTGTAAGCATGCTGAAAAAGCACAAACCAGAGACTCAAGACTCAACTCAAAGGACTCGGTCAGAACGCTAACGATGGGACACTTTTGTTTTTTCTTTTCTTTTTAAATAAATGCTTTACAAATGTGCACGCCCCCTCCCACCCTTCATGAACTCCCACTTTTTTAGCTTCACAAACTCCATCATTGACTCTTAATATGAATTTGAGTTTCGAGGATCTTCATCGTACCTTCACTTCACCGTTGGCTTTTTAACGTTTCCAGCAACATGGACAGGCCGTCGCATATCAACTTCTCTCAGCATGGGCTTTCGGCGGCCATCTTGAGTTGACCTAAATGTTCGTCCAGGCCTCTCGAGAAAGAGACGGACACGTGCTGTAGATGCTCGCAGACTTCATTACGACTACTAGCGCAGTACCGCTGGATCCTGCCTGTAGACAACCATAGCGTAGATAGAGATCGTCTTTCTTTCCATTCCATTTCTGACTGTGTGTTTTAATGTAGTGCAGTTGACGTGTGTCGCTTGGTGTTCCCCGAGGTGAATTCTGAGCATGGTTTAATCGAGACTCCAACACCACGCAAATCTGACTTCATCATTTGGCAGATTCGCTGACAATTATATGGACACAAATGGTTTAGGAATACAAAGACCAGCACCAAACCCTTCACTACCAGCCAGGGAAGGAGGGTAGATGCTGGGATGGACAGTCAGCACTGGGGGGGGAGGAAGATTGATGCATGAATGATAAAATAAAAATAAAAAAACAGTTAGGTCTGTGGACACACGCACACACTGACCACAGCAGCAGGACAACTGTTTGGGAATTGCAGTATCCTAGTTTACGCCCCCGCCCCCCCCAGTAAACCCTTATCTGAACTTCTGTGTGTTGTGAGACTCGTTGAGGAAAGGAGGAGATGAAGTGACGCCTGAGCAGCTCCAGCTTTCCTCCTTTCACTCCTTCACTGGGGATTTGACCATTACCCCATCCAAGACTCTGAAGTCGTATGCACCGCTTCCACTCAATTTTTTTGGTTTTGTTTTGGGGTTCATTTGGTTTGATTTAGCAAGGATCATGAGATGGAAAAACAACCTTGTCTGGTAGTTTGTAGAGTTAACTTTTTGTTTCGTTTTTTTGTTTTCTTTCACAAAAAAAGCAACAGACAAAAAAAGGAGCATATTAAATGTTGATGGAGAAGTCCATGCGAGTGGCTACTTATAGTAGCATTTGTTCTGTTTTTTGACGACTGCACACACAAAGCAGGAAAGTCTCACCTTCTGGATGATTTATAGATGATTAAGAATATTACAAACACAGTAACGTGTAATATTGATGTTCAGTTTGTTTCTATTAGTTTGGCGTTACGAATGAATCATTTTATAAGCCATTTATTAAGGTAATGCCTGGTTATACTATTCTTCATGTGTATGTAATGTATTTATATTAGCACTGTACAACTTGAAGTGCTATTTACCTTATCCTTCAATGTGGAAATGCGATTGTTTTTGCTATTGTTTTAGAATTTCCGTTTCAGTTGCCTATGACAGAAATGACTAGGAATCGCTCGTACGGGAAGAATAAGGTGAATATTGCATTTAGAAATCAACATTTACTAAGGTAAGCTGCAAAAATATTACTTCTTAGTTTTGGATGCTCCAATCAATCTGCTGAAGATTGGTATCGGCCGATAATCACATTTAATGACTTGAACGGTGTTCGCCAATCTGGCTGATCTCATGAACCGATCGCAGGTGGTTTGTTGATGAGTTCACATGCAGAGGAGTTTTTATATCTGTGTTATATTATTTTCTGTAAAGCTGCTTCTGGCCATGGTATGTCCACACAATGGTTATGAGAGATGCCTTTAAGGGATTATGTGCAGCATTCTTAATTTATTCTCTTGGATAAGGCGAGATCTCCACTTAAGTGTCATACATGGAAGAAAAATGCATTATGAAGCTTGAAGCATCAGAAACAGTACTCCATATCGGCCAATCACAATAACAAAGGATCGGTATTCTGAATCGGCTGCAAAAATCCTGATCAGTGCATCCCTATTATTAGTTCATGTCAGCCATTTTGATAACCCATGGAACATTGCGTGCACCCACATGACATCTTTTAAGGAACATAAGAGGAAACGTAATGACTTTTACATAGTTTAGGCAGTGCAGTTTCATTTATGACTTAAGACTGTTTCTGTAGAAAGCCATTGTATCATTTTATTGTATTGGATCCAGTCATAGGGATTCCTTTTAAGGTGCTTTTTGGCATTTTTACCTGTCAACCATTAGTCACTGTCCACTTTTTACTGGATACAACAAACAAAAAACTAGATTGGTGGAAGAAACAAGTCAAGATTTCAGAACGATAATATAGAATTGTTGGGTAAGATGTCCTTCAAATACTTTTGAAAAGTAAAATTCCTTTCAAACACAAAAAAATGCTGTCATTTACTCACTTTCATTACTTAAAAAAAAAACAAAAAAAACAAGGTTTCTATTGTGAAAATGAAAAAAGAAATTGTAAAATGTCTCAAAAGTTTTCCATACATCTGTATGCACCAAAATTCTTTAAATGAAAAATACTTCTCTTTCCTATGAAATTCATAAATGAGTAGAAGGTGAGCAAATGACAGAAATTTCCCTCTTTGCTTCAATACCATGTCAGTGTTTCTCAACCATGTTCCTGGAGAACCACAAACTCTGCACATATTCCATGTCTCTTTAACCAAACACGCCTGATTCTGATCATTAGCTCATTAACAGAGACTGAAAGACCTGTAATGGGAGTGACAGACAAACGAGACATCCGAAACATGCAGTGTTGGTGGACCTCCAGGAACATGGTTGAAAGACTTTCTCATGTAATGTAATTTGTAATTTAAATGTCCTCATTCAACCCGAACAAGCTCAAAATGACAAGATTTACCCTGACAAGTCAGATTTTAATCAATGGTGTCATAAACCAAAAAAAGAAAAAAAAACTGTTCAGGAAAGGAAAATTAAATATTTCACACACACTGGTGTTTTCTCTCTTAAATTACATCAATGAAGGAAAACAACAGACTTGAAAGAAAAGGAAGCAGTCAAGGGTTGTAAGGCAAACCTCAAATCAATTCACAGTAAAGCATGATCACTCTTAAATTACTCAATATTGAATGACAAACTCAAAACTAGCCCATTAAATTAAAGGTAATGAACATAAACGACCATAACACAAAATTAAAGGGCGGTTATTTCTTCTGCTGGGTTAGTTAACATTTTCAAGCTGTTTGCTGGGAATGGATGTGTGCTTCTAGCTTTAGCACACTGATCAGATCTCCTTCATCGCTCAACTACAACACTTTTTTTTAATGTCCCTTGAATGTAAAGACTCATCTGTTGTCCTGTGGTTCGTCATTAAGTTTTAAGTGCTGTTGTGTGATTTGAGGCTGGAGTAATATGCTGTCCTGGGTGTGGAGATCGGGTGTCCTCTGCCGTGTGGAAGAAGTAGAGCTGAAACGACAGTGGAGATTTCTTCAGTGGATATGGTGTAAGTGCATCACACACACAAAAAACACCAGTACATCTCTAAAAGATTATAATTTTCAATCTCACAGGATCGAATTCAGATTTCTACTTTGGGGTTGGTAATATTTTTATTTAGGGATGCATGATAGTGGATTCTTGTAATATCCAGTAAGGAGATATTTTCAAGCCCCTTTTGACTGATAGCAGATGTCTGTACTGATAGTGTGTGTTTTTGGTAAAGTGTGTATGAACATTCTATTAATATTCATTTTCTTTTCAGCTTAGTCTCTTTATTATTCAGGGGTAGCAACAGTGGAATGAACAGCCAACTTATCCAGCATGTTTTACTCAGCGGATGCCCTTCCAGGCGCAACCTAGAACTGGGAAACACTGACATACTCATTCACACACACAAACACACACTTCGGCCATTTTAGCTTATTCAATTCAACTATAGCGCATGTCTTTGGACTGTGAGGGAAACTGGCGAACACAGAGGATACCTACGCGAACACTGGGAGAACATGCAAACTCCACACAGAAATGCCAACTGACCCTGCTGAGGCTTGATCCAGCAACATTCTTGCTGTGAGGCGACATCGCTACTCGCTGCACCACCATGTCGCCCTAATATGATACATCCCTAATTATAATGTTTTGACTACAGTGCACACTAAGGTAATACTAGAATGGTTATACATGAGTGTTTAACTACCTTAATGTTTTTTTTATTTAAAACACGATTTATTCATGAATTAGTCCAGATTTTTTTCTTTAATTTCACGTGATCCTTCAGAAATCATTCTCATAGGATTTGAACAACTTGAAATGTTTTTTATAAAACTAATAGTTGATTTTCAGAATCCTTTAGGGTATGGAAAGTTTAAAAAACAGCATTTATGTGAAATAGAAAATAGTCATATCACATAATAGCTTTGCATCCCTTTTATTGTATAAAATGTAACTATAAGTTTCCATTAGTTGGTGTATTAACTAACAGGAACAATAAAAAATATAGTGTTTATTTATCTTTAACATTAATGAAAATATTAGTTAATTGTTAGATCATATTAACAAGCACTAGTAAATAAACGCATTAGAAAATGTTGAACAATAATTAATAATACTGTTCATCATTAGTTCTTGTTGATAAATATAATAAAATTAACTTATGGGGTAACTCTTTAAAATTATTTTCTGCTAATGTGTTTACAAACATGAACTAAATGAAACATTGTACAGCCTTTATTAATCATTCAAAATTGACTAATGCTTTATTAAAAGCCAAAGTTACACTTGATAACAATTAATGCACTGTAAGTTAACGTGAACTAGCAATGAACAGCTTTATTTTCAATTAGTAATGTTAGTAAAGATTAATAAATACTGTAAATAAATGTACTAACGTGAACTAGCAATGAACAGCTTTATTTTCAATTAGTAATGTTAGTAAAGATTAATAAATACTGTAAATAAATGTACTGTATGTTCATGTTAGTAAATACACTAATGGGAATGTAAAACCTATATTAAAGTCTTACATCAAAAAATATATGAAATTGTCTGAAAAGAACTGCAATTAAGCTACTTTGTAGAGAGCTATACAGGCATCCTAGTGGTACAGCATGTAATTTAACACCTTTACAAGCAGATGGCACTAAACTGACTTTATAAAATTGGATTCGAGTGGGAGAGTCTCTATTCTAACTAGAAATACTGCATTAATTAGAACAAACAAATATAGTAATCGTTTTCAATGGTGATAAAATTTATCTTAATTACTGCAAAAAAAGTTTTTTTTTTTAACCAAACCCCCTAAAATGCTAAATAAAAGAGATTAATAGTATTAAACTAAAATAAATTAAATGATTTTCCTGAAAATAAAATGTTATTCCACAGGTCTTTGGTCACTTTTGATCGGGAAGGGCACAAGTGTGATTCTGACTTCTAGGTAACCAGAGGGTTTAAAAAGTATAATAAAATTACTGAGCCCAAACATTAGAATGGCAAGCAGAGCAAGTTTTTTCTATCAAAACATTTTAAATGAAATGTGAGAAGTACAATCTATCAACTCATACCAGGATAACAGGAATTTACTCAAAGACAAGTAAAAATGACTGTTCTGTTTATCAGCCAAGGTGTATCAGGCCTGAAAAATTCCTCTAAAGAGTTTCTCTCACCTTACAGCCGACAGCCAGCAGTGCGTGAAGTGCCACGATAACAGCCACAGTGGCGAAAGCCGTTAGTTTAGTATCATCACGAACCGCCGGCCAGAACGTGATCACCAACACCGAACCAGAGATCACCATTGCAACCACAATCAACAACCACTGGAGCCAGTTGAAAGGAATAGTCCATAATACCTAAAAACAAATGGAGCATCACTTACCGCGTCTAAAATCAACAAGGCTGATTGTTTGTGTGCTTTTGAAGATTTTCCCAATCTTACCGAGGTAGGAATGTAAATGAACAAAGAGTAGCCGTAGACACAGACTGTCTCTAAAAATGTGTATCCGTTGATCTGTCTCTCGACACTTTGACGCCACGTGAGGAAGCCCCAAACTCCTAGTGGCACCAGCCATGCATAGAGGAACACCGTGACTGCTGCAATGGAGACTACAAGAAGAAGAGTTCAGATTAAAAGCAGATCTTGACTTTCACATTCACTGACTGGCAGGCTGTTTGTATAATGTGTAGTTAAAGAGGAAATAAGATTTTCTAAAAGATTTTTTTTAAATGTAAAAATAAATGATCATAAACATGTTTAATGTTCACTGACTTCAACATCTTTGTAATTTACAGGTGGATTTCCCTCCCAAGAGGTAAGCAAAACTCTTTATTGTCCAGCCCAAAACAATTGTACAATATAGAAGATAAGAATAATCCTCGGAATATGCATGTTTTCATGAAAGGGTGTTTTGGGTGTGTGTACAAAGGTAGTTTGAAAATTCAATTTTCTCTACAAATTCTAACAATTCACATACACAGCGCAGTTTTACCTTTTAAACATTCATTCATTTTCTTTTCATCTTAGTCCCTTTATTAATCAGGTGTTGCCACAGCGGAATGAACCACCAACTTATCCATCATGTTTTACACAGCAGATGCCCTTCCAGCCACAACACCTATATACTCTCATTCACACACACACACACTCATAAACTATGGTCATTCAATTCACCTACAGTGCAAGTCTTTTGACTGTAGGAGAAACCAGAGAAACCTGGAGGAAACCCATGTAAACATGGGGAGAACATGCAAACTCCACACAAAAATCCACAGAAAAACTGACCCAGCCAAGGCTCGAACCAGCAAACATCTTTCTGTGAGGCTATCGTGCTACCCATGAAGCCCCTTTTAAAAATGTATGACTTTAAAAACAAACATCCTTTCATAACCTTTTATCTATGATATTTTTACATATAGTGGGTTAATTCTGAACTCAACCAGTGTTTTGTTTTTTAATAAAAGAAAGAAAACAAAAAAAGAAAGCCAAAATATTACATATTTACTATGAGTAATTTACTTTTGAGGTCAAAATAGAAATTTTCACCAGTAGTTTTTATAAATTAGACAATATATTTTACACATAAATTCATGAATTGTCATTTGGTTCACATGTAAATATTTATCCCAGCCTACAAAATAATGGAATATTTAATTTGGGCTTTCAGTAGTTTTCATATTTATTGGAATATTGATGTGTATATATATATATATATATATATATATATATATATATATATATATATATATATATACTTTACTTTTTTACAAAATCAAATATTTTAGCAAAGAAGGATTTTTCAATGTATGAGTCTTTTAAAAATGCAATGGACAAAAATCTGTTTTTATTACACTGTTATCATGAACATAGCCTCATTTCCCATTCCTACAGGCATCTTACCTCTGTGAAATTGAGGTCTGTAGTGATACTCTGGATTTCCCATCTCACTCAAAAATGTGGAGAGGTTCCCGCTGATGGCCAGTGAGAACACTAGAGTCACACAGATCCAGAAAGGACCTGAAAAGAGAAAGGGAACAAAAAGTGTCAGTTGCTTAATAAACCACTAAAGCAAAAATACAGTGAAATATATATATATATATTTATATATAAACAAAAAATAATTATAATTTGGGCATGTTTTGAAGATTTGAGAAACATGGTCCATTACCATATAGATCAGGGTTGCTTCGTATATGATGTTTGATGAAATTCCTTCCTGGCAAAGGCATAACTGAGCCCTTTATCCTATCCAGCACCTACAATGATGAAAATAATATTATCTGTAATATACAAGACACAAGCTGTTGATGTACATAATTGAGTGTGACAGCTATGAGTAGGTACATGACAAAGAAATCAGGATTGCCCTTTAGATTGCTAGTAATCTGATCAAATATATATTAAGAAATTAGATTTTAAGAGGACAACATTATATTTTATAGTGCAGTTTTGTTTTTTTACCATTATTACTTGGTGGAAATACTAGTTAGCATATGAAGAGTTTATTAACAAAAACAGTTAACTCCACTTTTATTAAAATTCAGATATCACGTTTTATATATTGTGCATTGATGAGTACAGCTGCAAAAAAAAAAACATGATTTATGGAAATGACTAAAACTGTAGCTTTTTAATAGTTTTCAGAAATCATGTTTACTTTGAGTATTGATAAGTTATAAATACCCAAAAATGTCTAAAAACTGATTCTGTATTTGCAAATGATGTCTTCATATGTTTTTTCATTTTCTAGATTAGATAAAGTCTTGTTTTATTCTTCAGACGAAAACTACCTTGACAAGAATACATTTTAAATGATTTACAAAATTGTTGTTTTATTTATTCAGTGTTTCAAGTTTGTATATCAGGACTTATTTAGAAAAAGACATTAAAAAGAAGCACAGTGCATCTTTCTAATAGAAACCACGATGTTTTACTTGTTTTGTCAGCATAAAAAAAACTATTACACCTAAACGTAATGCATTTTGAAATTGTAACTATAATGAATAAACAATGTACCTAAATTACGGTCAATTACATTTGTACCATAATGAACACACTCAGATATTTACCACAGCTGAAGAGGTAAAAAAAAGAAACACACCTGCACTGTATCTACGTTGAAGAACGACTGATAGTATTCAAACGTCCAAAACCCACCAGTTTTCTTTTCCCCTCCAAGCAACTGTGGAGAATATTGCACAATGTGGAAAAACAACCAGTGAGTGACTAAATTAGCTGCTTGTGATATGTTGTGACCGTTTTGTTTGGCGTGTCACCTCTGAACTCTCCTGCTGATTCTCTTCATCGTCGGACAGGTCGAGTCTGACCTCTCCAGATGGGGCTGCTGCTGCTGCTGGGTTTGAGCTGGAGATGCTGAGGGTTGAGGCTCCAGGATTTGAGGACAGGAGATCTTCGGCTTCTTCAAACTCTGAACATGTGAAAAACAACAGACACAACTTAAAACAGATTAAAACAGAGACACCTGAACAGTAAGGTACATAACGTTACAGATGAACACAATCCTTACCTTGAAACTTTAAATCATCTGGACTAGCCATGACTGGAGATCATACGAATTCACTCTTCAAGGGAAAAACGACTGTAAATTACAAATAATTTAATCACACGACAGCTGTTACCACTGAAATCTGAACAGATTTAGACTTGACTCACTCACCTGGCTGATAATCCAGCAGTGTGTTTCCTGATGCTGCTATTATTCAGCTTGTGTCGAGCTAGCAAATACAAAAACAATCGTTTTGTCAGCTCGGCTGGTGTTTTGTAACACCCTTTGGCTAAGTGGGATCAATAATATCTGCAAACGATTCGATTACAGATAGAAATCATTTGATGCAGTTTTAATACACAAGGATTTAGCGTTATCGTCCCCATATTCCACGTCACCTGCAGGGTTCCGCTGCGTCAAAACACAATCACGTGACCGGAACAAAGCCGGAACTAAAATGTGTGTTGGCTACCTGAATGGGAATTGAAAACAACCTGAGCATAATATGATAAAATTACTATAAACTATTATTACTAGCTATAAAACATGGAATTGTGTTTTTCTTCTTAATGTGATTGAAATTATGCAAACTATTGTATTGTTTAATTAAACATACTTTATCTTTTCTATTCAGTGTTGTAGCGTTAGTATACTGTTATTAATGTGTATGTCTTAGTCCGTATGGACCTTCGATTGACATCTGTTATAACTGACAAAACGGGGCAAAATTTTGTTTGGTGGAATGGGGCAAGGAACTTTGTGTTTCCTCTCCGGAACAATAACATTTCACGTACCGTGTACTCGCCATTTTGGCTCAACAGTTTCACCATGCAGCACTATTACGTTTATCAAGATTTGGAAACTCTCGGCTGAAACCTCTTCCTGTGCACATTCACCGTGAACTCTGAACTTTCACACTTACTCGAGTTCATTTGCTAACATGGCCGCCTCGTGGCTGCTGAAGAGATGGTGCTCCACGGCAGCTAACGTTACAGTGACAGCCAAGGGCACACGGTGGGAAAGGCTAAGAAACGGTCGCGCAGGTAAGACTAAATGCTTATCATTTTCCCCATTTCTGGAATGAGTATTAAAGATAAGATTGATATTACCCTTAGCTACCCAGATACGCTAGTCCAGTGTAAGTTTCTTGTATTTATCTGATTTCTGGGTAATGTATACATGTTAACATTTACCTGCATAACCGCAGCAGCAACTTATGCAATAACTTTATTATAATTCATTCAGATTTACAGTATAGCATTAAGAATGTATTTCAGTTTGTAGTATTCCTAATTAAAATATAGCTCCATCCCTTAAAAAATGCAGAAGATACTTTGAAAAATGTTGCAATTGGAAGCCATTGATATTCTTAGATGGGGAAAATACCATAATAGTCAATCACAACTGTGTTTTCAGCATTATTCTAAATATCTAAAGAGACTAAGTAGGTTTAAAGAAAAAAAAACTGACTATATAAAGACGTAATTAAAATATCTGAGTGAACGTACTGTTTTAATTGTAATAAATGACTTTATATAAACTGAATTTTAGATTCGATTAAACTTTTAAACTATTGTCATTACACATGTACAAGTACAATGCAACGAAACGCAGTTTAGGTCTAGCCAGCAGTGAATGGTTTGTCTAAACTCTGTTAATCTCTCGGCTGTTTTCAGGTGTATGGTTCCGCAGTCTTTTAACTGACTATAAGGAGGCTTGTCGTGAGGCGGTGGTAGGGGCCCGTGATCGACCCCTCAAAGCTTCAGTCTACCTGGGTGTTCTGGGAGGAATGTACGCTTGCTGTTACACCAACCCTGATGATTCCTCCTTTGAGACCAGCCTGCTGGAAACCTCCAACCGCCTAGCTCTCCTGTCGCCATGGATACGCAGTGGCACCTCAGATGGACACATCCAGACCCTTGTGAAGCTGCGAAACGAGGGCAGGCTGCGCTATGCCAGTCTGGGCATCGCCTCTTTGACTTATTACGCAGACTACGATGCTGAGTCTAGCCTGTATGAAGCGCGATGCTCTGCCATCTCTGTGCCCTGGTCCGAGCTGCATAAGCGTGTGCTGGACGTGGGCTTTGCGGGACGCTGGTGGGTGCTTGATCATAAAATGAAGGACTTTGATATAAACGAGGAGGAGTTCAAACATCTTCCTCCCGCTCTGGTGGCAACAGTCCCACCATCACCACAAATAACTGAAAGAAACGAAAAGCTGCATGAGGACTCATGGAAAGCTGTTGTGATGGATGAGGAGAGCAGTGAGTTAGAGGGTGTACAGAAAGACATGGACACAGCTGATAAAGGAAAAGAAAGCATCAAAGCATAAATGTATTGATGGACGTGGTAAAATTAATGCTGTTTTTCATACAAGAAGGATCAACTGTTAACAAGGAATGTAGTAGGAGACATTCTTGTACTACTAAAGACGAGGAATGATGATTAGAATGTGTTTATGCAAGTAAAGAAACATTTTACCACTAAAGATATGCAGAAAAGTGTGACTTGCTGCCTACAAGTACATTAAAACAGCTGCAGTATATGCTGACATTGTGTTATGTGAATGGATTATTAGTACTACATCAGCTCAGCAAAAATATGAATGTCTTTTAAGTTGATTAATTCTCCGTCAGTGAAGGAAAACTCACACAATATTTAGGCAAAGGTATAATGTTGTGTGTATTTGTTTTGTTCAGAATTCTATTTAAAAAATTTTCCTAAAATATTGTTATTTAAAGGTTTTATTATTTTTTTTAAAATGGCATTTTCAGAAAACAAAGGGTAAACAAATGTGAAAAGTTGCTTTCTTAATTTTAAGCTGTGTTGTCTAAATTAGGCCGTACTCACACTAGGTACAGTTGCCTCGAACCGGGCCAAAGCACGCTTGTCCCCCCTCTTGTCTCCCCCGACGGCCTGCACTCACACTACAATCGGGCCTGGGCACACTTACGTCATCGATGCTGCGCTGTTCAGTGAGAAGCGCTGTCACTCAGCAGCACAGTGGAGATTTCTCTAGTTATATAGTTTCAGTCGTTTGTTATGCGTTGACATGCAGTCAAATATTTCGCCAAACAGTCCTTAGGGATGCGGTGACACGCAGTCAGATATTTCGCCGTACAGATCTGCCACTTTTGGCGCTCATAAACAATCACAAAGCTTTCATGCTGCAGGAATGAGGAGGTCTGCTGAAGGCGCGCAGCTGTCGTGCAGTGAGGGGTTTGGTCCTTAATAAACTGAGTTTGCGCTCATTAAACAGTAAGAATGATTAATAAATCCATATGAAACAGTCCCTTTAAAGTCACGTCTCGTTTTCAGTTTCGGGCTTAAACGTGTTTGGCACTCACACTGCAAACTTCTCGTGTCAAAACCCAAGTGAACCCCGCTCAGGCCCACCTCTTCCAACAGGGCCAGGGCCAGCCAAGTGAACCGTGCCTGAGCCCGATTCAGCGAACTCACACTTCTCAAATGATCCCGATACGGTTCGGATAGCATAGTCTGAGTAGGCCCTTACTTTGATCAATATATAAGACTAAAAACATTGCACCTTTTTTTTGCTATTTTATGCAATATATATATATTTATATATATATATATATATATATATATATATATATATATATATATATATATATATATATTTGGAAGAATTTAGTTTGGAAGATTTCATTAGTTTGTGGTATAAAACAAACAGCTTTTTTAAAATACATAACTTAAAACCATTAATTCAATGTGTATGTCTCTGTATTTAAGCATCCAAAAACAGAAATGTGTGCACATGTAGGATTCTCAATGGCAGGTGGCAGGTGCTCGATCAAAAACAAACACAGTGGCAAAAGGTCAAAGGAAAATTGAGACATTGCCACTTTAGCTCTTAAATTTTATTTTATTTTTTAAATTTAAAAATTGTTACATTTCAATTTTTTGAGAGCTAAAGAGGCAGTGTCTCGATATTTTTATTTATTTTTGGACCTTTTGCCACTATGTCTCTGGATTTACAATTTATATTCATTGTATAGTTATGTGATTAAATATAAATGTATATACATACATTTCAATAATTTAGACGTTTCTCTTCAGCAGAGAACGCAAAAATATTTACACAAATATATTAAGCAGTACAACCCTTTTTCAATGTTTTATAGTAATAAAATGTTTGTTAGGCATTAAAGTATTCAATTTAAAGGGTGAAAGGGTGACTGACCCCAGCTGGGTCAGTTGGCATTTCTATGTGAAACATGCACTAAATACTGAATCTAAAACACTAAAAACTGAACTACACTGTTCCAGTTTACTATGATCTTTATGTGAAGCTGCTTTGACACAATCTACATTGTAAAAGTGCTATACAAATAAAGGTGAATTGAACTGAATTGAATGTTCTCCCCATGTTGGCGTGGGTTTCCTCTGGGTGCTCCAGTTTCCCCCATAAGTCCAAAGACGTGCTAAAGCTGAATTGGGTAAGGGTACATCCAGTGTTATGGATGTGAAATTTGCATAAATTCGCATAAAAAAAAAAACAGAGAAAGTATACGTTAACATTATATTGAAGCAACAGTTTATATTTTCCAAAACAACTAACCACAGAGTTATGGGATCTGGAAAATATCAATCTGTGAACATGTTTTAGATTTTAAAATAAACATGCAACCAAAAGAAATGATGCTAATTAAAGGGATAAGTGTCGGCTCACAATAGAACAAAAATTATTGATTTTACTTGATTTGACATTTTTGCCTTTACAAGAAAAAAGCTTGTGTTATGGATGTGACAGATGTAATGTTGGTACTTGTGTGACTTTGGTAAATCAATTATAATAATTTGAAAACATTGACCGAGACATTTTTGAGTACTTTTTAAAGTAAATACTTGCTTCCACAAAAAACAAAGAAATTATTTTGCTATTTTTATGTAAACTTGCTTTTTTTTCATGGCATGGTTGACACTTGCATAAAATTGCTCGTAAGCTAAGTGAAGTTTATTCATAAACTAATTTTGAGACTCGTGTTTATGATTGACTGGAGCTGGTCCTGCATTAGCTAACGCATGATCCACCAATTAGATGATTCCTAAATCACTATAAAAAAACCAGAGCACCGTAGCATCTTCATCTTGAAGAATCCTCCCTTCCACCCCTTTTTCCTTGACAGGGCGGCCCGGGGGTTAGCACCGTTGCCTCACAGCAAGAATGTCACTGGTTCAAGTCTTAACCTGGCAAAGTTGACATTTCTGTGTGAAGTTTACATGTTCTTCCTGTGTTTGCGTGCGTTTCCCCTGGGCTCTCCGGTTTCCTCCCATAGACATGTTACATAGGTAAATTGACCAAATCAAATCGACACCACAGACGAGCGCTTCCTCAGCAATATATCTCGCCAAAGTAATTCTTAACCTGCATTCACCTGAAACAAGCAGGGAAGTTCTCGAGACCTACCTTAGCTCAAACTGCAAACAAGAGGGAGCCCTGGGCTCAAGGATCTCATGAGTTCTGGGCTCTCTTCTATTACTCGCTTTAAAATCAACCATCAGCTAAGTGTCAACTCTTGAAATTGTCCGTAGTGTATGTGTGTGAATGAGAGTGTATGGGTGTTTCCCAGTGATGGGTTGCAGCTGGAAGGGCATCCACTGCGTAAAACATATGCTGGATAAGTTGGTGGTTTATTCCACTGTTGCGACCCCTGATTAATAATGGGACTAAGCCCAAAACAAGAATGAATGAATAAAAACAGCCATTTGTAATTGTAACAATATTTCACAATATGACCACTGCGTTTTTAGGCAAATAAACTGCTGATTGACCATTCACTTTACTAACCAACAACATTTTTGCTGCCTTCCAAAAAAAAAAAGGAATTCATGTAAAAAAAAAAGAGAGTTGGCTTAATTATAGCCATTAATCCCATTACCTTTGACCTTCTATTGCAGTGGCTGACTTTGATTCATTTTCAAGGGAAATCCTCTTTTACATTAATCTCTTTACTCTTCCTCTCTCTGGCTTGTCTTCCCCCATTAGTCTTTCACTCGCTCCCCCCATGCAGTCCTTCCTAAGATGGTTGGTATTGATTCGCTGGCTCATGGAGCTGCATTCTGTGCTCTTTTTTTTCTGATTGGTATCTCAGCTCCTAAAGAAGATTGTTCATTCTGATGTGCGGCTCTCCTGCAATAAACCATACGAACGCTGCACTGACCCGTTCGCAACAAGCTAAACCAGATTATATTCTCAGCGATAGAGCTAATAATGAAAGTTAAGTCTACTAGTACGCACTTAATGATGAAAAGCACTTAAGATGCGCTAATGAAAGTGTGGGAGGCCCTTTCCAAGAGGTTTCTAATAGTCCGGGGTGTAACTCAACCTCGCTACAGTCAATGTTGAAATAATAATCTCATTAGTGTGCATTTACAAACTGCCTAACAGAAATATTGCGTGTCACTGGAGACGAGTATTAATGAGACCAGACCTTTAGGTGGCTTCAGGCAATCCTAACGACGGCCTTTTAACTTCTCCACTGTTATAAACTGTTGTATATTGAAATGGTCACTTAGCATTATCACGCTGCCGTTATCCAATCACTAAAGATTTTCAGCCGCCAGGAGGATGTTGCTGTAGCCTCGGGGCAGCGGTATCTGATGTGCCTCGATCCTCATAATGTACTGAAGCACTCTGTCTGTCCATCAGGGCGTCCACAGGGACCAAGACATTGGCTGATTGCTAAAATGGAGGAGCTTTTTCCTAACAGTGCAGCGCTCTCTGTGAGACACTCTCCGCTCAGACGCACCACCGCTGCGTCCCAGTGCTTTTAAAGTGCTGTCCCTGCCCTGTCTTATTGCCTTCAAGCTCACTGATCTGAGATAACTAGGCAGTGGGAAGCAATGGAGTGGAAGCCCACCATGTTTTTCAGGTAGTGTCGCTGCTGTCTTGTTTGCTTTTTTACTAGGCTGAATGATGAGGGAGATGGAAAACTGGTAGGCGACTCATTCATTTTTGCATTTGCTTTGTCTTTATATTTCATGGATCCTTGGCTCTTCGTTGTCTGAAGCTACTTTTAGTTTTTTCATAGCCATGTGATACTAAAATAGGAATATTTATATAATATTTATGGGATGGTACTGACAAAAACATAAGCCTGTTTTAATTAATTTGCCTTTGTGCTGTTCTAAACATGTAATGCTTCTTTCTTTTTTGGAGAATTAGAAGTTGTTGGTCGTTCTAAATGATTTTGGCCTTTCATAGTGCAAAACAGCACTGGAAGACTTTGTAAAAATGAGTTGAAGCAACTCTTGAATGCTTTTTAGAAATTTCACACTGTTAAAAATGAAAGTTCCAATGTTTTTTCTAGTGATGCTGAAGAATCATTTTTGCCTCCCTAAACGACTTTATAAAAACAGTTCTTCCAAGAGCCATCGTTTCTTTCTTAAGAAGCTCTTTCAACAATAAAGGGCCTATAAATAATTTGTGAAACACTTGGATGTTCAAAGTTCTTTATGAAATCACGGCTGCCAGTAAGAAGATCTACAGAATAAAGGCTTAGTTAGGACTGCATGTTCAATTCAGTA